AGCCAGAAATGGAACTCAATGTGAGATTAACACCGAGATAAATCACACCATATGTATAACTCCTGTAATCTGTGACAGCACGTCGAAAACCAGACCATTGAAACTTTTTCTTGTGTGATTGATTGTGCTGATCAGCAGCAAGACGTGCAACGGCGAGTTCTTGTTCTTCTTCGGTCAAATATTTGCTTGTTTCAGGTCGATTGGGCAAGAAGAAAAAGATGAGTACGGATAGTGCGATGGTAGGTAAGCCTTCTACCAGAAAGAGAATTCTCCACGTTGCTCCGATGCTGGAGCCTTTTATAAATGACACTCCATAAGCAATGAGTCCACCGAATGCCCCGGCTAGTGCACCGCATCCGATGAAAAGAGCATTACGAAGAGCAATTTCATCTCGTTTGTACCAGATAGAGTAATATAGGGGTACAACTGGGCCAAAGCACGCTTCACCAATGCCAATGAAGAGACGACAAACAACAATGCCAGCAAAATTGAAGACGGCTGCTTGAAGAGACGAAGCAACTCCCCAAATCAAAGCAGCTATAGCTATAGCAATCGATGGTTGCAGTATCTTGGCCATAATGTTGCCAGGAACATTGAATGTAATGTACGCAATATAAAAGCAAGTGAGAGCAATGGAATACTTTGTATCCGAGTCGTCCATGATGTCGGACTTTAGTCCTTGGAGTTTGGCATTGCCCATATTGCCACGGTCAAGATGAGCGCACAGGTAGAGAAGTGTTGTGAGAGGAAGGATAAGTATATCCAGTTTTCGCTTTAGCTTTCGTTCCAAAATCTTCTGGCTATCACCCTGCTTTATAGTAGGGTCCACTACTTCAACACTGATATGTGATGTATGTGGAGCATGTGGAGATGCAGGCGTTGAGGAAGAATCCTTTTTTTCAGCAGTCATGATATCTGAAATTGAAGAGGAGCAACAATTAGACCTGTATGTGAGTGAACATTATTCACATCATCGATTTTCTAGTTCATTATACTCAAGCATGCGCAGTCAATATTTTCCGTCCTGCATACGTCGATATCGGTCGAAATACTTGCATTACTCCTGCCGATACTTTATTTATTGACTTGTATTACATTTCCATTTTAACTTTAGATATATGTTTTTTTTAATGTAGTCATTCGTCTTTTATCATTTTAATACACAGAATCCGAGAGACACATGTTCTGTTTGATTAACATATAATTGTATGGAAGGATATTCTTGACACGAATGATAATCAATTATGTTTATGATTAAAGTCCATAGCTAAGCAAACAAAACCTAGAAATAGTAAAGTCTTCACCTATACAGATTCCATATCTATTTCTATTGTTCAATCACGAAAACAATGTCAAACATGTCCTTTTTAAGATATGTGTTGTTTATTGAGATGTCGTTGAAAAAGAGCTTTATAGATTGACTCTGCATCGTTGACGCTGAGGAACGCAGGGTGTGGGTGAGGGTGTGAGGGAGTGCTTCTTTGCGTTTAGAGACATCTCCACCGCACGCTATCTCTGAAACATGAAATAAATCATAGACTAAATTCTGCTTTTCAGTCGAAACTTAGAACAATCATGAACTTTCTGCAAAATCATTGAAAACAGAGTACTGATTTAGGGTATTCTACTACTTGCCAGTGCTTACAAGATATAAATAGTGCGAGTCCAACCGATTTTTAACGTTTTTACAAATACATTTGTTTCACTCAACATTGATGCTGCTTGGGGCGCAAATATGCAGACGGAGTTCCACGGATGAATGCCATGAAATGCAGTTTCAATGTTGAAAAAATTGATTTTGTTCGTTGAACTTATACCGTGATGTGTCAGTTGCGGAGCAAAAATATAAACAAAAAAATGACTTGTTCTCCCCTATCTGAAAAGCAAAATGGATTTCTCTAAGCGATCAAAGTTGAAAAAAACAGTGAAACAAACCTTATCAGGTATGAATTACGCCCTTACCTGCATGTGCTGTGTGGTATAATTTTGTCCGTTCGGTTGTTGACATTTAATGTGTTTGCCTTGCATATTTATATTACCTGACGGTGTACTTCTACAGTTAGTTCAGATGTACTTTCGATTCAGTTCAGATGTACCTTCGATTCAGTTCAAGTGTACTTTCATATTATTTATTCTTTCGTCCTTCTTGCTTAACGAGTACGTAAACATGCGTTTTATTTTGGTAGAGTGAGATTTGAGAGAAAGACGTAAAAGCGCGGCGTAATTTTGTCAGTACATACCTCTCTCTGATGGGAAAATGATCAAACCCATTCGAATTACTCGATAATTACATTCCTCTATTTTGGCTCAGACGACAAGATGATTGGTTACAAACAATAAGCCCAAAAGTGTGCTCTGTAAGAAATGTGTACAACAAACTAATGTAAACATCGATGCCACTTGCTACTTAGTACGCACAAAATAAGTATATTAAACGGCCAATCGATGTGTCGCATCGTTCACCAAAATAACTACTGACAAGTTAATCCAGTTGTGATAGATGCTGTTTTCAGCAATGCATCTCATCAACATGTTACTCGAGCAGTAGAGTCGATGGCTCGTCAAAACAATCTTCTATAGTTTTTATCTCAAAAAGAAATATGTGCTTGTGTTTTCCTTACGCATGACGTAAAATTTGCCTGAAATATTCTCGAGGGTGGATTTTAGAATAACTTCATACGAAACCGTGATCATCTACCAATAGCCTTGAAGCACAATTACTGGTAATGTGTGTTCGAATGTAAGCCCATTATTTCTGTAGAAATTTTCTTTGTTGTGGGCAACCTCATCCTCTCACCGCCACATGCACACCCTAAACCAATTTACAAACTAGATGAGTTTTCAAACGGTTCTCCTGTCATGTCTTTTTCGCCATAGCCATTTCGATATAAGTTCACGCAGGTCAATCGAAAGCGTCTGATAGATTATTACTCTGATCATTTTTGGAACTATTCGAATTACTTCTCGATCAGAATGACTCGGAGACATTATGTGCTGCTGATAGATACAATCATCGAATTCAACACCATCATCAACAAGTAATACAGAAGCTCCGAGTGAATGACTATGCATATTTATGAAACGACTAATCTTTGCTTCTTTTGTATTACAAATTACATTCCACGGCACTTCGTCATTCCGAAGTCTTCGAAAACGAAAAATTCTAAAAAGTACGCTGGATTATAACTGAAACATGAAGTTATAATCATAGACGATCTGATTGAAGTGTGATCATTGGTCAAGCGAACACCGACTCCTTCGCCGGATCCTTAAGATATGAGTAATTAATTTGAATTGGATCGTAATAGAGTTTCCATTAGTAAATGTTGTGAAGCGATGACCTTGAAAAACGAAAACTTTGACAAGATATTTAATTAAAACAGCAACATTCTCACTTTATTCATATCTTGTTGTATTCCGCTGACTGTTCTTTTCAACATAATTACATCGTCGGATTCCATTGGCAGTGAATGTTCATTGATGCTATTTGATGTATTGTCAGCTATACCGTTGTCCTGCGATGAGGTATTGCGCTTTTTGCTCCGCTCCGAGATCAATCGAGCATAAGTATACGTAACAGTGCTTTCAAAGATGTCCCAATGTCTATCAGTTGCACTATCGACTTTTGGAATCATTTCTAGGGAAAAGTTGGTAAGTACTCTTCAAACAAAAAGGAAAAATAACTCACTACTTACTAAAAACGGGAATCCAACACGTTGACCGACTTCGATTCTGAGTGAAAATCGAACAGCATTTGCTTATCATCTCACAGGTGAATCGAATAGTATATGGAATTAAACTGAATGGTGGATAAGCAAGAACTGGACGTGAAAAATATTCTTGAACAGTTATATATCGATGATAATCCCATTTTAACTCTGTATTTTGCTTATCTTTGTCACTACAGTTAACAAACAATACAAATTTTCTCAAGAAAGTTGATACTCACTCGAAAACTTGAATAAATGAATACGCCAGCCACACAGTTATGAATAATAGATGAAAATAAAGGAGAACTTGACTCGTTGTTGCTTCCACAAAAGCTCTATCATGAGAAATTTTTGTAGAAATAGACCAAGATGGAATATAGAAAATACATTTGGCAATATTATGAACAGTGCTGTAAACCGCTCTGTCGAAAACTAACGGACGAGAAGCGCCAACAGTTATGAATATCAGAAATACGAAGGCAAAGACATGGCGAAGCTGTAAACAGATCACTAACCGTTATAAAATGATTTGAAAATGACATTTGAGACTAACCCTATCTTCAAGCATAAACAGTTTCGGTGTAAAAGCAAATTTTAGCAAATGAAGATACCAAAGTTCCAGATCAAGAATTAAAATAAATCTATAGCAAACAGCGTTCACAATAAGTCAAAAACAAAATATCCATAAACCTAGCTGATTGAAGAATGATATCATCGTTTTCCGAAGCGAATCGAAGACCAACGCCGACATAATAGAGAATATAAGGTAACACAGCTGAAAATCCTGTAAACCATGTTTGAAACATGTGCGTCCGCTGTATCTTTAGACGAACTCAAGATCATCTCAAGTGAAACTGCAAACATTTTCTCTTACTTCTATGATACTTTCGCATAACATCGTCGTAACTGTAAGAGTAACATAGATTTCCATCCAATGAATTTTCGATACTATGCATTTCTCAACCATATGAGTGAAGATGAATAAAAATGCAAGATAGCTGATCTACATACAAATGAAATCAAGTTTGAATGTTTGAGAAACATGAGAGGAATATTTACGAAATGGTAGAACATTTTCACCACAGGACTCGCATGAAAATATCGCAGGCGTGTCGAATATTTGCAGCATAAACAAAACTTTGAAATTGGTTCATTATTGTAATAATTAATTCCTTTCGAAGACAAATTACAACTGATTTGTTTCGAATTTCTTTCCGGTTTGCGATACTCCATCAATATCGGTGCTGGAAGACCAACAAATATTGCAGATAAAGTTAGAAAACGTGTTGTTTTCAACTGACTATACCATGCTAATTTTAAAGCTTGATCAAAACAAGCCGTTTGGAGCATTTGTTCACATTTACTAAAGATTGCTATCTACAAAGAGCATATCTTCATCTTCTGAATTATCACACTGTTCAAATCGTTGAAGTTACCTGCGCACACGTCACATCACCAAAGATTGGTACTTTTCGAAACAGTAGTTCACATGCTGTTTTTTCATTCAATTCATAACATTTATTGATACAATTTACCGCATAGGATTCGAAATCGACTGCTTGAGCGCGTAATTTCTCTTCCAAACAGACCACATCAGCGAATTGAGCATAATTTTTGAACACAACTGAAGCAATCAGCGAGGCACAGATGCGAGATTGAAGATGGACGAGAAGTATCTTAGCCATGTCTGGCATATTCATAAAAACGGACCATAAGAAAAGATCTCGCAGCATTTCATCCTTTCCATACATTCTCGTCTTGCCGTGAAAGCGAATATCCATTCGACGAAGAAATGTTTCAGTAAATTCGTGATAGATATGTTCTGTAAGATTGAACATCTCCTTAACATTTACTTCAGAGTGGTTATACAATTCTTTGATAATCTGTTCCCATTCCGAATGACTTCTTGTCTTTGTTAAGTTACGCGGATCGAAACCAGCAGTTAAGAAAACATCAACAAATGTCAACCGATTATGCTCAAGACATTTCTTGAATAAATCATTCTCCCACACCCTATATGTCTAAAAATCAAAATTCGACGAGTGAATTTTAGAATCCAGTCTACCTCGATCATGTTCGATTGCGTGTTGTATATTTCGTCTTGCCATCTTTGTAAGATTGGTATTACTCCATCGATATAGTCCCATTTGAATGCTAAATCAAGTAGTTTATTTTCATGTAGAGAACGGCGAACTTCTGGCGAGTCATTATTGGGATTATTCACTTCGGGTTTACCGATTTTCTTGGCTATAAAAGTCGAAAGTAGAATAAAAACATGTTTTTTTTTCGCTAATACCTGATAAAATCGCGTTGAAAATTGTTTTTCTCAATGAGTCACCACGTTCGAAGCAAAATATACTGAATAAATGTCGATATCGATTATCGAGTATCTCATCAATTCGATCAAGCACATCAATCACTTCTCGATCGATGTAATTAGGAAAGTAAGAATCGAAAAATGTTCGAGTTTCCTCGGTAGTTGGATTCCAATGCTTATTCCATGTAGCATCCGAAGTCAATTCAAGTAATGAAACTAACATATCTGTTAATCGGCCGCTTCCCTACATATATAAACATGAAATTAATCAACATATACTGGAATTGAACACTTACCCGAATAAGTACGATTGAACGCTGGTCTTTGATACTGTTCTCCAGAACTTCAAGTTCAGTTAGATCGCCTCCAAACATAATCGTGATTGCATAACCTTCAAAACAATTCTTATTCATAGAGGAATTTTCAAGAGAAGAATGACGATATACATGTGGGATCGTTACAAATCGCGCCAATGAACGCGTCTCGATTAGCATCGGAGGGATGTCCAATTAGTCGACCATCGTCGAATAGAATGCAATGTGAATGGCTGTCTTCGATTCTGTTTTCGTTCATTTTGTTCCGTGAAGGAATTTGTTGTCGAAGGAGTTGTTCTGGATAGCCCTAGAGAGAAAAATCGGAATTTTTCAAGCAAACAAATACTTCTCAATTCACATTTGTCGCCTTTTTAAGATCCTGTCGAGCTTCTTCGCTCAACAAACCCCACATGGTCAATCCAATACATATGATTCTCTTGGAATAATTGTGAACTATGCGGTAATGTGAGATTCCTTCGCCAATATGTTTTGATATACCGGTATCGGTACCATCAGTGAGTATCCATGCATCTATAAAAATCTATAAAATGACGAATAACATTGATCAATAGAAATTTTACTAGTTTTAACGGCAATATCGATGATATCTTTGACAATTTCAGTTTTCAATTGTTCTTTTAAAAGAAAGTATCTTCGTCCTCCAGAGATGCTAAGAATCAAATCAGGTTTCTTTCCACCACAATCATCCAAAATCAATTGATACAATCCATAACTATTATCACTACTAATTTGATGGTCAAGACGAAGAAAATGACAATCATACGGTTTTAATATACCATAAACATTAACCGGAACTTGACACGACTGATTATTGCAAAATGTGGTTGGCGGAGTCCATGCTTCTCCTTTCTCTAATGTCTTCGACTGTAAACAAGCATCAGTAAGACTATGCCGACCGATCAAACGACCACAAGGACATGTTTGCTCGGGACGATCAGCCGGTTGTTTCGATCGGCGATTGTAGATATGACACGTTCGTGAACGACAAAACGGATCATTTCGATAATGTGCAATAACTTCTAACCATGTCAAAAGACGAGTTTTTTTATTCATTGCGTCAAAATTAATCGATGATACTATAATTGACTATACAAGTTATCGTCGATACCTACTTGATCGTCAGGTTGATATTACATCCAGTTAACATATACAACCAATCATGCATGTCCATATGTGAAGAAACAAGAAGAGAAAATGTTTAATTGACAACCAATAACAGTCATTAATTTGAAGGTAGTATATTTTGATAAACATACAGAATTGCAAAGAAACGTGTCAAGACCATTCGAACACAGGAGAGGTGTTGAATGAGTCATGATTATAACCTTGTGGTGTTTCTTTCTCTTTCATCTTATCGACATAAATGCACAATGCGAGCACGTTGCTGACAGTTATTTTCGATGGCAAATACTATTGAAGACGATGGAACTTACTCGTACGAAGTTCTACTCGAGAAAGATTTAGAGGAAGTAGCTCGACTGCTTGCGCGTACGTTCACAGAAGGAAATCCACTCGAGATTTACTTGAAAACAGCATACGAACAGTTCTATCCTTATGCACTAGCAGTTTCAAAGGCTATTCTACAAGATCAACTTTCCATCATCGCAGTGCACAAACAAACAAGAGAAATCCATGGTATTGTACAAGCAGCCGATGCCAAGACGATGGCAAAGCAGAATTTCGAAGATGTTGATCCTTCCATAGATACATTGAGAGCCTTGCAAGAAATAGAAGAACATTTTATGAATCAATACGGTGAATTCAACGAGAATGATTTAGTACAAATATTAATGGTAGGAATTCGACAAGATTGTAGTGGAAAAGGTGAGATTGAGAAAGATTTTTCGATTGGAATTACTTTTCTGAGGCTTCATAGGACTTGCGACGAAACTTCATGAGATTCTGTTCGCTCGTTGTCGTCAACATGCTTTTCGACATGTTTTTGTTGAAGTTGCAAATCCAGCGACACATTATATTTATACAAAGAAACTAAACGGAAAAGAATTTGCATCGACTTCTTTAGCAACATTCGTCTCGAATGACGGTCGAAGACCATTTGAACATTTTGATGGCAAAATACAGTTAATCGTTTTTGATCTCTAGAAGAATAAGAGAATTTTGTTTACCAGATCCATTCTGACCTTATTGAAAACAATTTCATCTTTGTAATTATATTATCGTCCATTTATTTAAAATACCAAATATTTCATTTGAAATAAATACAAATAGAAACTATTCGAGAATCGTAAATACAACGAGAAGATGAAATCAGATGCTGTAAACTTGAAAAAATTCGTGATCGATCCTACCGATGATTTTGCTGCGTCCAGAACCTTCTCGATGTGTACAACAGATGTGTTCGATACACTTGTTTACATCTACCTTTTTGCCCGATCTGTTAATATATTATCTTGCATCTAAATTCGTTTTTATATCGTCCGAATCGGTTGCATCACTATAACACTTGCTCTGTCGTCAATTTCATCGATATTTGTTCGACAATACTATTCAAAGATACACATTCGATCAAATTTAATGTAATGAATTCATTCATTTATATATGGAATCAGCAAATCATCTTTATTCAAACGTGATTTGCTTCACGAAAAGTAATATGAAATTCTGTTTTTAATCATGAACGATTGTTATATATTTTCTCTAGATCAAAAGACTGAACTTATGCTACACACTGCCTAATGGCAATCTGACTCTTGAACAACGGCAGTTTTGCAAAGATAATGGTTTTATTCTCATTCAAAAACTGATTTCATCGGTAGATGAGTTTATGATAACTCAATATTCGATTTAGAAAACCGATTTGACGATGTATGCGCAGCAAAGCTTCATGTACCGGGTTTGATAGTGATCAAGGATGTAGTTTATACCAAATCACAATCAAATATTGAATAAAGAACTGTCACTCGTATTCAAGATTTCACATTGGGCGATGAATTCTTCGAATGCTATTGTTTATACTTGAACCTGTCCAATATATTGAGAACTTCATTGGTAAAATATTTCGTGGTATATAAATGTTTTTGTCTGTTCAAGGTTATCAACAAACCGCCGGATGTTAGACAGAGAACGACACGGATATCCAAAATGGGAGGTAATATAGTCTGAAATGATGAGTGCTCGCATTGATCGTTCATTATCTTTGATAAAGAGTGGAATCAATAAAATGTTCTACGACATTGAAAATGTCAATGCTAATCAAGATCGACGATGTATCGAAATATGAGAAGGTAAGACTGTTACTATTTTTGTCATCCATTACTTATTCACATTAGTGAAAAAAACCTAACATGCGCATATCGAAAGGTATGTGCAGACAGTTTTTCATAAAAGACGTGTTCCAAATGATGATTTTCAAGAGCGTATGCAAGGAAATGAATTTCGAGATGCATTTCAAAAAAGAACTGACCGTCAAAATGCAAATTTTCTAAAAGAGTCTTGATATAATGTTTTCTGCCTAGGACCTCCGGAGACATCGTTGTCGAATGGTTCAAGGTAAACGAAGTCTTCTTTTAACAAGAGAGTTCGGATGGCAAATATTGATTCACTAATCGACATGTTCTTCTTACACAAAAATTAAAATCCTAGTGTAGTTTAATGCATTCTCTCGCGTCATGCTTGTTTGTCTGATCTATGGAGGGCTTACTATGAATTACTACGTATCGTGCCGTGATCTGGTCTATCTTCTAGTACACATCATATAATATGAAGAGAAAGGCATAGAGATCTCAAATAGTAAAGTTCTCTTGATTAGAAGACGTGAAATTGCTTTTTTTGTCGAAACGTTTGATTGTGTTACGCGGAACCAATATAACAAAAAAGTTCTTTTTTTTCTCCTCTTTACAACCCTTTTCTTCACGAAAGATCGATCATGAACGAGTGCGAAGCACTTTATTTTCCCTTTGGCATTGTAAAAAGCGCATCGATTCGCTGTTTCTTTTGTCTTTACTGAACATTTTTGAAAACTCTCACAAATCACGTACAGTTTCCTCTGTTATATCTATTGAACTTCTAATAATAATTATGATTGCTAACAACCTTTGTTGACATTTTAATACTTTAAATTTACAATTAGTTTCCAACCAAACATGACATAGAAGAACTTTTTTTCCTTTTCGGTTCGCCGTCCCACGAAAGATTGATCATGTAGAAATTACAGAACTTTCTCGAATGTCATTCTGTTGATTTATTATTCAGTCACAATATTTTTAGAAACTTCTTTTTTGTCTGAAAAGAACATGTCAAAGAAATACTGTTGGAGTTCATTGTAGGTCCGTATCTGGAAGTAATTTCCTGAATAACAGTTTTTCTCCTCGCTCTAGCGCATATAAGTATGTATATATTCGACGATTTTCACCATTTGTATTCACAACAATCTACGACTTTTCTTCATATTACTATTAGCAATTTTAGATCGACGAAAGTAAGTTTTAATATGGAAAGTCAAGTATTTCTATACGAATGACCATCTTTGACTTGAAGAGAATTAACCACCGAATTACTATGAGATATTACGATGTTTGTTAGATTGTTTTGCGATGTAAACAGTTTAGATCGAGTGATGGGCAGACATCTAATCCTTACTGTTAGTTTAGTTCTCGAACCTATCGAGTTTGGATATGTTGCGAATGGGTAGACAACCTGTCTTCATACAATCATGTTAAATTCATAGTATCACTCTCAGCTACTATTTTTCAAAGTCAAAGAAGACAAATCTAAGAACTCATCTTCTCTTTTTCATGTCAACAATACTCACTTGAATGAGATTTGTGTTACTGCATAGTTATTTTTTCTATAATTAAAATTTATGTTCTTATTGACATTCGACGGGTAGTAACAAGAACGAGCAAGATTAATTGTAGGAAGTGCGCATACGAAAAAGAAAGAATTCTGTTTTTCTCTCATCTATTTGTAAATATTCTTAAGAAAACGATTTCTTCTAATCTTTTTTCAGTGTCATCCATTTGTAAATCCATCGTCGGCTTCGGTCGAAAAACGAAAACTTATTTGGAAGATCTGAATTTATTTTCATCAATTCCTCCATCAACAGATGAACATCAACTTCAACAAGAAAAGATTTCCACGAAATTATTCCTTACATTTTTAATTACATTAATGCTAATTCTTCTTCTATATACATCACTAGTTGACAATACACAAACAATTTCTATTCCAGCACCTTCACTCGTTCAATATTCCCGAGCTTATTCCAAATATCAAGAAACATTAACATGCCCATGCACGAAAATCACCATCGGCTACTCGAAATTTCTTCAAATTGATTACAAACTTTATCAAGTATGTTCAAGTGTACTAGTCACCCAAGATTGGTTCAACTACCTAACAGCATATCATCTTACCGGTCAATTATATCTGTACGATTATCGATCAGTTATAAATAAAATCTTTCAAGGTTGGAGCACATTGTGTAATTTAACAACAGAAAGAATTTCGGATGACTTGGGTCAGTTTTATTCCACGCAATTCATCAGCTCATCATTGATATCCAATCAGACATTTCAAATCCAAGTGCAATCATTAATCCAGCAATTTCTTTGGCAAATAATTCAAGATTTTCTTTTCTCAATTTCGTTAACTCGACAAACAAACTTTTTGCCGGTGTCCAAACCAACGCAAACTTCTCAACAACACCAGAACTTCGTTTAATTACGACACCGACGACATACAACAATTGTTCGTGCGACCTTTCACCAAAATGTACTCATCCAGCTCGAATCGACGATTTTCAAGGTAATGCAACATTATGGACCATTCCAGGATTCTACATTGGATGTTTTTTGATTGAATCTTTACTTCAATCCAATTTACAATGCTTCTTCAACCAATCCTGTATTGATCAGTTACAAGTTTACTTAGATATATCATCAACAATGAATATCACTCAACTCAATCGATCTTTACTGAAAAACTTTCAAATGAATTCGATCGTCGAAGAATTAGTGAACAATCTGATGGTCGAACAATGGAATTCATCGATTTCATTCGATAATTATTATTCGGAATGTCAACCTGCGCAATGCATCTACACAGACAAGATGAGAAACAGTGCGACTTACATAGTCACAACGATCATTGGTCTGATCGGTGGATTAGTTATGGCATTGAAGTTGATCGTGCCACGAGTGGTCATGTTCTTCGGAAAGACTAGAAACAATGTTGAACGTAAGAAAAATTGAATGTCTAAACTAATGCGTAATTATACTTTCATAGGAATGGAAATGACCGAACGTATTCGAGTTAATCTAAAGAAATTCCGTGATTATTTCAAAAATTTCAGTACCTTTCGTTCATTGAGTGAGGATGAAACGATGAAATTATTTCCACTCGTCTATTTCTCTTTCTCTTAATCTTATCTCTTGCCGTTCTTCTTCTCTACACATTGTTAATCGACACTACGCAAATCATTACAATTGAAAACCCAACATTAACTCAATATCTGCAACTCTATTCAGACCACTCGGATGCATTAAAATGTCCATGCACGAAAATCTCTGTCAACTACAAACAAATTCTATCGATTGAATATCAATTTCACGAAATATGTTCAAGTACATTCCTGAATCACGATTGGATCGTTCATATATCTCAGTGTGATGTCCAATACCGAATGTACTGTAATGACTTTCGTTGCAGTGGCCCGTACTATTTCCAAACCATGCTGAGTTACTGTCAAATGGTTAAGAAGACCATTTCCGATAGTTTAACACAATTTTATTCCAATCAGTATATAAGTTCATCGGTCATTGCATATAATGTCTTTGAAAGTCAAGTGAGCGAATTCATTGCACAGTTCATCTCCTCGACAACAAATAGCTTTCTCCTCTCGATATTAACCATACGAGGAACTACGTATTCGAATGGTCTACTCGTCGGTCTCTTATACAATTTCTTGTTGGAAGTCGATACAATCACCAATCAAATCACATTACCATCGGAAACGTACGACGATTGTTACTGTGATCATACATCAACGTGCACGGCATCGTCGGACTTCTATCTTTCATTAACAGGAGTTCCATTATTGATCATTCCGGGATTTAAGAAAAGTTGCTTTATGATCGATTCAGTATTAGGGTCGACTTTAGAATGTTTTTACAATCGAACATGTATTGATCAGATCAAAACATTTTATTCGGTGTCATCGGCAATGGATATGATTCCATTGAATGCGAGTTCTCTTACTAGTTTCACAGTGAATTCAACGATGAAAGAAGTGACCGATGAATTAATGGTGAACCAATGGAAGAAAGAGATTTTGTATGCGAATTATTTCAATCAATGCGCTCCTTCGCAGTGTACTTATATTTATACGATCAAAAACACAGTTCTTTATATTATCACAACAATCATCGGCCTTACTGGTGGTTTAATCACAGCTCTGCGATTTATCGTGCCGAAAGTTGTGAAATTCGTTCGAGGTCGTATTCAAAAGAGAAAAAACAGAGTTAGCACGATAAGAAACACCATTCGAACATAAAACCTTTCAGAACAAGACTGTTTCTGCTTTTCTCATTTAATCTAATAAAAATTCATTCTTCATCAGGAACTCCCGTCAACATCGTATAGAATTTTTTATTAAACAACATCGACATAAAACTCATTCGAACCTGAACCGGCATGTTTTTGCCAAAATGAGATCGTATACGTATGACCGATTATTGCCGTAAAGGATTGACCAAGAAAATAAATGCCCAAACCAGTACTTTCGCAAGAAACTTGAACACAACTACCAGTGGATGAGACACAAAAAATACTAGGCGCTTTCTCTGCTGGATCGCCATTCGAATTAATAGTTGTCGTACAGGTATTCGCGCACCATTGGTTCCAACCAGCTAAGAATGAAATCGCATCTTCAAAACTAGGATTGGTGAGCAATTCAACAGATGGCGCTGCAGTGTCAACAACCGATACGCTATCCAAATAGTGATTGTTACTGCTTGAAGTTTCCAGGCCAAACAAAAGGATAGGATCGGTGTAGTTTGTTGCTGTGTAACTTAAAGTCGATTTAGTCCATGTAGATGGAGTCGGTCCAAATTGTTGCATTAGTTTTCCGTAACCAAAGCCAGAACTTGCACAGTCTGGTGCTAGAAAGAATTTCATTACTAGAGAGATTATTGGAGAAAGTAAAGATCTTTACGTACTTGTTACTGGTCTCGTTACCACTGTTGTTGTCTGTGCTATAATATAATGTAATGAGAAAAGCGTGCCAGTTGCTCAATGAAACGTACTTGAAGTTGTTCGAGATGTTGTCGATGTTGTCTCTGCAGAAAAAAAGCTTCTCTCGTTGATTGTATATCTTTATTCACTTGTGTGACAACTTACGTGATGTTGATGTGGTACGAGATGTGGTGGTCGAACTTGTTGTACTAGTTGTTGTTACCGAAGTCGAGCTAGTGCTTGATGTTGAACTTGTAGTTTGAGTCGAGCTAGTTGACGTAGTGGCTACAGAAAATGAATACTTTATTTGTATGACAGAAGTAACTCGTTACTGACTTGCTGATGTTGTTGATGAAGACGATGTTGTTGTTCGGGTCGTGGTGGTTGTCGTCGTTGTTGTTGTTGTTGTTGTATTTTCTATCATAAAAAGATAGTTGTATTGTTTTACACAGGTATAGAACAGAATACAAACGCATTTTAAGAACAATTATAAGTGCGGCAAGTCCAGCTAATGCGAGAGCTAGAATAAGGCACAAGCACAGCAATGGGCAAGGATGGCCCCAACAGCATTTTTTTCTAAATAATAAAGACGTACAATCATAGGAAAAGCATTAAATCGCAAACTTCTTTTGTTTTCTTTTGGATTTTTTATTCGCATTTGTCCATTCTGTATCAAAGTTATCATCCGAAGTATTGTCTAATTCGTTGCTTATTTGACTCACTGTCAAAATCCGAGGATTGATTTGTTTAGTACATTTTAAAGATTGATTATTTATAACACTCCAACATTTTGTGTCAAATCGTTTAGGTTCAGATTGGACACGATGGGTTTTTGGTGCAGATTCAGATTTAGTTTCACTATCGCATCGCATCGAGAGTTCGTACGATAGAGGAGATGGAGGATTACTTTGATGTTTGATAAACACGTGACGTAATCCTCTTGAATGTTGAACAGGAACGCTTGTCACCCGTTTAAACGAGTTGAGTTCACTTCTGCTCACATGACGAACGGAGTATCGATCCATCATTGATTATGTTCGACTGAATTCAGCATATATGCGAGTATTATTTATTAATCGCGAAAGAATAACCGAGAAAAAAGGTTTCTTCATTGTGAAAGTTGTGTCAGTACAAAATCTGCTCTATTTCTTTTATTTATTTTATACGAAATTAAAAAAACCAGTGTGTCCTTTCATTATTTTGAAGTTATAAAGAAACCGTGGAAATGTTTAGTGTATTACCAATAAATTAGAAAAAAATCATTTTTTAAGGAAGGGCGTATTAGCCACATGTTCATAGTTTTCATGTATGTGCTGTAGTGGCCACTCGTCGTTGTGTTCGCATTGAAAACAGACGTTGGAGACTTGTTTTCTTACGTAATTCTGATATTGACGCAAGATTTACAAAGGGAAAGATGAGAATAAGTAAATAACCCAAGAAATCAAATGTGAGTTGCACGTCACCACCACTTTGTTCTAATACACCGCATAGATGAACAAAAATAAGAAAATTAAGGGGAATGTTAACAATAAGATACAGAACAGAAATCGGAACTAATTGAATAATTAATTTACGCTGTTTTCGCCACTGGATCGGCTGATTAAGACGACGTTTCTGTCGATAAACTCGAAGAACTAATGCCACAACGAACAAACTAATTAATACCGTTGGAAATATATTATTAACACACGAATCCCATTTACCAAGAATAGGATCATGTAAATAACACGGAAAGTTATTGCATACAGGTAGAGTATAGTTATAACGGTTCTGACAAGGTGGAAAGAAGATAACCATAACATAGAAGATATAGATGTAACATAAGAGAATGATTAATGGAAGGTAGTGCAGGAGAAAACGTCTTTTCCTTGTTGAGACCCATTGGTCGCGAAAGACGAGAATATGACGTTCGAAAGCACTCCATGCCATGATGATGGTGATTCCATTGTAAAAACCGATGTCAACTATCCACCAACAACGACATAAAATCGAATTTGATGGTTTGACACGACCTGAATTGGCGATAAAATCCAGATTTAATGGAATATCAATCAATTGAATCGTTGATCCAAAAAGAAGCAAAATAATTGTACTGTGATTATTTAATTGCCATCTAAGATTTCGATCGATAAGAAGATGATAAAGTATGAAAAAAGTACAAATAATCGATGGAATGTCTAATAATAGGAGAAGCCAAAAACGAATGGGACGAGGTATTGCAACTTCATCAGTGTCAAACGAGGCAGTGGCTGCGGCGAAATCATCAGTGCCTACCATTTTTTCCAATTGAATCATACGTAAATGACGAGAGAATTTCAAATGAAAATTCTGGCAAACTAGAATACGATGTGAAAATCAACTAAATATAGCGTGAAAACAGGAAGTCAAAAGTCTGTTCATTAGTGTTAATCACATTTTAGTAGATTCTCTTTAAAAGGACATGAAGAACTGGAATATTATGAAGGAGATATTTTGCGTTCTTCTGTTTTCTTCTATCCAAACATTACTCTCATTGTCAGTAGTATATTTTTGGATCGACCATTATATTAATCTCAGCAAGCTTTTTCTCTTACAAATACAATGCTTCACACTACATAGTAATGGCTGCTAAAAAGATCTCAAGGTGTTTGATAGTATTAAAGAAGCATACCTAGAAGACAACTAATGTTAATGAGAGTTGTCATCAGCGATGAAAACTTCGCAGTTCATATATCAAAATTCACTTTCAGCCAGATGTCATATTCGTGAACATAATCCAACAAAGTCGTCAGCAGGCATATTGAAAACAGTCAAGTTTGAAAATTCGAATTTTCCTCGTGCATACTCAAACACTATCACAACGATGAACAAAATCACACGGAAAGTATAAATTATTCGATTGCACCAGCAGTTGTTGCGCGTCATTTCACAAATGAATACAATTATATGCGGTACAAGGAATCAACATGCCAAAGACACATTGGAGAATAGACTTAAAAGTATAGTTATAACTTGTAGAGCATCGAATTGATGATGACACATGTATGTTTCTTCTTCCAGTTGACAGGAGACAAAGAACATTCCATAGGAAATATTGGTTACTCACGATTTGATAAATATATTGTCAACCAATGTCTATAATGTGCTAATTATGGAAAATCATGTGAGCTGAGCATCAAACATAACATTGGTATCGGTTTCATCAGCTCATCATTCTAAATCTTTAGGCCAGGATATATACAATGCCTCGCGAGTTTCTTTAATACATGTCATCGAAGAGAAACTCGAAATGGAAAATGTGGAATTAGATTCTTGGACATCCAGCAGAAATTTCCATTGTTATGCAAATAAATCGAACAAGGCATTAACTTGAATAATCGAACAAAAGAGATCTAAAATTCGAACGAACTTTGTGGTATGTTCAATTTCATTTGATCCAATGTCGTATTTATTTCATGATCAAATTGTTTGTCAGATATTAAGTTGTACGCTAACTTAATTGAAGCAAGAAATGTCTGAATATCATGAGAAATGGTTTCCTGTACTAATTGACAAAGCTTTCCAATTTCGTCGACGAACACAGAGTTCCATGATCCAAAATCAGCTTCATTTCTATAGAATCTGTCTGGATCGTCTAGTTTACCCATAGTGAAAATTAGCTGGAGCACATCTGTAGAGCATATTTGATAGAACGCTCTGACATCGCACAAATATAAATGTTCATAGTCTGTAATCAACGGTTTTACATAGATCTTAGTAATATGTCGACCATTCATAGATAAGAAAAAACATCATTCGTCATCGAAAAAGAAATAACGAATGAAATGACATAGATGTAAGTTGGTGATTTGTTTCTTCATTTATTTAGGAATTTGTTTTATACGAATGGTACGAGCAAGCCGTTCTAAAACGAAACAATACATCTAGTATAATCAAAGAACAATGAATTATATTTCTCCTTGTTGAAAATTACGTGCATTTTTGTGTTTTTTTGATTGTCAATGGAATAGAAAATAAGTTTCTTCACCGATGTCATATTCAGTTGAAGACCCACTATCAATAAGTTTGTCAGTTCATTAAATATTCTTCATGTATGTCGAATTTTACCACCAGTCGATGGGTATACAGTCAATATTGACATCATTGATACCTACTTGGCCGCTCTCTTCGATTTTAACTTGAATATTCTTATTTACACCCGTTAAAATGCCGCTAACAGTGTTGTCAGTATCATGACGTAGTTTTGCAACAAATGACTCAACTATATATTGAACTTGTTGTTGGAGAAGTACTTGAGATGGTAGATATTCGTTGATTATTCAGTGGAATTGAAGACTCGTTGCGCATCGGGGATGTTGCTTGCGACTATAACGAGCAAAACATGGTCAGGAATTGAAAATAAGTTGCACCGTAGGTATGAACATCGAGTGAAAACGCGGTTTTTATCCAACTAGACACGTCGTTTAGATCGAATAATGCTAGGTAATCCAACCATGCTGAAGATACCAACCTGCTCGAATAGATCTGATGTAGGACGAATGTATCATTGAGAAATGTACCATACTGAACAAACATTCATGGACAAGGAATCATGTAGCTTTTCGTATGTTTATCGAGAGGGTTGGATAAGAATATATAAACGTCAGCAGTGGTTGAACACATGATTAGTATGAGGATCATAGGCATCGTGTTAAAGTCAATCCGGGCTGATTTGCTGGGGAAGACTCAGAGTGATTATCTGAGCTTACTTAAATGTCGACGAAGGCTTTTTGTTCTCTTTATCAACGTTTTATCCTCTTTGGTGCGCTTGGAAAAAAAGAAGATTAACAACGAAAGATACAAGTCTTTTCAGGACGAATACATTGAGACAGAACATGCCGATCATATTCGTAATAGTATAGATCAGTGAGAAATATTTCGTATAAGTGTAAACGCAACGAGTTGGTCGGCATTGCTGATGAAGGGCTGTGAATGCAACCGTTATGTTCAAATGATCAATCATAATGTTGTCGATCAGCATTTGTACAGTTGATAATAATTCGATTCCGGCGCTCGAGCGTTGATGCATTTGTGAAAATCAGGTTGAGCTATGATACTATTCCAATGTTGAATGTAATACAACATCGATCATGTCACAATTCGTGATCATGCCAGAAATTGATCATAATCAAATGCGGACAATCGTGCAGACTTAAACACGAACAATTCTCGTACGTTGTTGGTATCATCTGAGGACTGTGACTAGATTGACAATCATTCAATAGGTAGCCCAAATAGGAATTTGTTGTTAAACCGGATACGAATTGACTTTCGATGGTTGTTCTTTGAAAGGCGAATAAATCACGTTTGAGAACAGTCTTAAACAAAGAAATCGCATTGTCAAGTGCTATTTAAGCTTAGGTTTCGATGACAAGGTCGCTAAGTACGATTGGACTGAAAATATGCGACAATCTAAAGTTGATCACAACATGAATCCATGTCTGATTACTTATATGACAGAAATCAGCTATGATTTGCCAACAATAAACAAAGCAATATCGAATATTGTATTGCACCAGAAACGCTTCGTTTCTGTCCTGCTATATTATCGAATCGATCCAAGCTTGTTAAACAAAACTACGGAAGCAAACTTGGTGGAATTCTACATCAGCATGCGCAAATGTTGCGTAAGCAATACCAATTTTCGATCATGGACATTAGATTGTTGTCGACTATTTTAGTATTCAATCGTTAAATTCCGGATTTGTTCGAAAATTGATTGAGTATGCAAAGCTGCAATCAAATTGATGAGAATATACAGCATGGCGTAGAGACGTATCGCATATCGTTATTGACGGATGGTTCCATCGTCGGTGGCATCCGCCCCGAAAAGATTCCATTTGCATAAGGATTTCTTTCATATGTTGTTTCTCATTTTAAAAATATGACTTGTGAGAGAAGCGATGGAAAACTGCTGCTGATCACGAATGACAGATGATTGATAAAGCAAAAATAAGGAGCAGATTAATTACTTCCAACAGAACTTTTTTCTCTACGCAATAGTTCAATCTACCAGCTGGCGTAGTTTATTTTCTACGCAGTTGATCGAGGAGCATATTTCATTCTAATGTGAGTACAAACGTCAATACTGTTTACAGTTTGAAAACAAATGGTTTGTATTTTTTATTTAATAAAGTTGATTTGATCAAACGGATAAAAGCATTTCTACATCGGACTCATCATCTTTGTTCGATGATCTATCAATGACAAGTAGATATTGTTCATGCCAATTATTTGTCGGAGGTTCTTTACGCAGCGTAATACTGAGCACGCCGAAGAAAAGCAGAATGAGAAAGATTGTTGCAATGAAGAATACAATCAATGCAGCATTGTTGCTTGGCTTTGACCAAAGTAGTTTTTCTTTTGATTTTGAAGTAAGGCCATAACATGGGTAAACTCGATTCGCCTGAAAAAAAAACGTTATCTACAGTAAAATATCGTTTGTATACAAATTGAACAGTACCGCATATTGTTCTTTTGCTTTTTGACTTGCAAGATATTCCGAATGTTCGGTTAAAATATCCATAATCGTTGCATTCCTGTTAACATTATCTACCACTGTTACATGCCATGTACATTTGTAACCTCTCGTCTGAGGTTGAATCGAGATCGCATCAACTCGACATTTCAATCCAACATAACCTTTCGATTTATCGTATTCATTCCAAGCACATAGATACAGACCGATTGTAAATAAGCAAAGAGTCAAAAAACCGATCACATCACATAACTTGGCTTTGTGAGCCATTATGTTTTGTTTAATGTGAAAAAAAACAACCGATTGATTGTGTGTGTCTCACTATCCACCTGATAAATATACGTATGATGGTAGAGAATGCGTTTATTTTATGTTTGTTTTTCTCGTATCTATAAAAATCAAATACAATTATTAGTAGATGAAAGAAGTATGAAATAGCTCGAAGATGGAGCGACCTATTTATGAATTTAAAAGTTGTCTTTCTGCGAAAAGATGATTCCATTCCTCGAAAACGACAAGAACAGTTTAAACATCAACGTTTTGCTTTTCGTGATGATTACTTTCACATAAAAACAAGGGTATTCGTTTGATCAAGCAAATGTCCACGCTCGCATGATTGATCTGCATTATATATATTTTTTTGCGTTCTCTTTCGTCTCTCAAGTAATCGTACAGGTTTGTTTTTCTTTCTCTGATTGTGTTGTAATTTATTTCGAAATCGACACAGGAGAAATGAAGGCAGTTATTGCTCACGGTCCTAAAGAGTATAAATTCGTTGACGATAAAGAGATACCGAAATTAAAAGATGGAGAGGTTTTAGTGAAAGTATTGGCAACTGGTATATGTAAGTAGTTTTTTGTTCGATTTCTTCTTCTTTTTATGTTTTCATTTCTGTTAAAGGTGGCTCTGACCTAAAAATGTACGAAGGAAGTCCATTTTATTGGGGAGTTGGTGGACGCGCACGATCCGGCGTTATTCCTGGTCATGAATTCGTTGGAGAGATCGTCGAAGTTGATCCACAAATAGCTCACGATCAATCGTTAACCATCGGTGACGTAATTGTTGCAGAACAACTTTTAGCTTGTCGAGATCAGTGTTGGTATTGCAAAAATAGTTTGGAACACAAATGCGAAAAGTTGATCATCTACGGGCAAGGTGTCGACGGTAGTATGGCTGAATATATGATATATCAAAAAGGCTCTTTCCTGCATAAGGTTCCGCAGAATATTTCCCCGATCTATGCAGTACTTGCTGAACCGTTGGCGGTATCCGTACGAGCTATGGATCGAGCTTCATTGAAAGACACTGATCTGGTAGGAGAAGATTTTGATCAATGAATTTTTAAACGTTACTATTTAGGTGGTGATTTCTGGCTGCGGAACGATAGGGTTAGGTGTTGTTGCAGCGATTCATATCTATTTCCCTCAAGTATCAATGGTTGTTCTTGATTATCATCAATTCAAATTGGATCAAGCACGATTGATATCGAAAAACTGTTCGACGTTTAATCTCTCGGACAACACTGTCGCTTCAATTGTTGAGCATGTACGACAAATGTCTGGTGAACGTAAAGGCGCTGATGTCTTCTTCGAGTGTTCGGGTTCACCGCATTCAATCAAGGTCGGCTTCGATTTTCTTCGTGCTTGCGGAACATTCCTTCATGTTGGTATTTGCAAAGAGATTCTCATTGAAGCTCCATGGAACGCAATCTCGGCAGGAAAAGAATTAACAGTAGTTGGTACGAATTTAGGTCGACATGGTTGGTCACGAGCATTTGAAATTCTACAGAAATGTGACCTATCGGCAATGATTACTCATCGATTACCTTTGAACGAATATGACAAAGGTTTAGGTCTACTCAATGCCGGAATTAAAATAGTTCTCGACCCAACTTTGCCTTCATCATCTTCGCCTGCGATTCCAACATCAATATCGAACGAAAATCACCACAGTGTTGTTTTCATCACACAATCGTCACACGGGATTGGCCGTTTGATTGCCGTGGCACTTGCTCAACAAGGTGCGACTGTTATTCTCCATGGTTCGCATCATGATAGTCCCTCGGAATTCAAAGAAGGTACAACGATGACGAATCTGAAAGAAGAAATAGCCAAACAAACGAGCAATAATCAAATCTCATGTGTCTGGGGTCACTTGACTTCAAAAGAAAGTGTGCAATCTATTGTATCGCAAATTCAGAAACCGATTGATGCTCTTATCTGCTGTGATGGGGAAGATCTTCATATTGACGAAGAGAATACACTTGGAAATGGCAAATCAAATGAACATTCATGTTTGGCAGTGAGCGAAGGCGATGCCAGATCAACTTTTGAACAAAACTTTTGGTCAACTTATCTGGTTTGTCAAGCAATCGTTCCGCAGATGACTAAAAACCTTCGAGGTCAAGTAGTTCTCATAGGTTCATCATTCGTAACGATAGGACAAGACAAGCACGTTCTTCGTAGTGCATCAAAAGCCGCTTTGCAACAATACATGCGATGTTTAGCCAATGAATCGAAGTCCAGCGGCATTCGAGTCAACTGTATCACGCCCGGATCAGTTTCGTACGGAAAAAACAGAGATCAAATTGCAGAAGCAGTCAGTAATTTATTAAAAATGGATTTTATGAATGGCCAAGTCATTCGACTCGATGGCAGCGAACAAACATGTTGCTGTTAAACTCTGACATCGATATTTTTTATACTGATTCAACTATTTTTCTCCTCTAGCATTTTCTTCAATTCAGCAAATTGAGCCATTAGATCTTCCACTGTTTTCTCAAAAGGAATATATGTCACACCTAATTCCCTTTGCGCTTTCGAACTATCGATCGCATAATGTTCGGGTGATTTTTGACCTTTGACACCAATCGGTGTTGTGTCCTTGATAGTTTTTGATATAGCACTACTTTGATGAATGATGTCAACTAATCGTTGATTGCTCCAAGCTTCTGCGGCGATAAGATACCGTTCGTTCGTATCAGTTGTTCGCTCTAGAGCAGCGACATGGACATATGCGACATCTCGGACGTCAACTTCCAACGGCACGCGAGTTTTTGGAATTTGCGCGTCTGTACCACTGCTAACTATCGACCATAGGATACTGTTTGATGAACGTATATCTTCAATCGATTTGAAGCCAGAAATCGATGGACCGAAAACCATTGGCTCACATACTGTAGCGATGGTAAACGAAGGTTTTTCTTTTTCCACGAACTGCCATGCAGCACGTTCAGCGCATGCCTTCGAGGCACGATAGGCCACATGTGGATCATCTTTCGCAGCAACAGCTTGTTCATATGTTAATGGACACCAGTCTTTTTCCGAGTAAGAATAGCCCGGGCGCAAGCCATGATTATGGTCGAAGACTGCTGCAAATGATGATGTAATAACGATCCGTCGAATCTGATGTTGATGATTTCGATTGTATTGATGAGCAGATTTTAGAATGTTTTGAGTTCCGTTGATTGCTGGTAGAAGTAAATCTTTTTCTACATTCGTTGTATTCAGAGGCAATGGTGAAGCAACGTGAATGATACCATCGACACCTTGCACGGCTTCGTCGAATGAATCATTAGCAATATCGTTGATGTACACGAACGAAATGTGATCTCGATAGGCGTTGGGAATACCTTCAAGAACATGTTGCTCTCTTGCTTGAAATCGAACTGTTCCACGAATACGATATCCTTTTTCCAGAAGATATTTAATAATCCAACCAGAAATAAACGAATTCGCACCTGTAACTAGAATAGTTTTCGACATCGTATTTGTAAGAAACACTCTTATGGTGAAGAATCTATCCCTCATGTAATACAAATCCGCGTGTTTATATAGTAAACAATCTTTTTTTTTCCTTTTCGTTCTGTATCATCGACTGTCCTTGTTCTCTTCGTATGCAAACGTTAACGTTTTATTACAAAGAAATTATACTAACATCAATAAAAACGATTAATTTCGCCAGAATGTATATTTAACCGGTAATGAAAACAGAACCATCAAAGAAATTTCGAGCAGAAGGATGATGATTAAATTTATATTTAGAATCCATTTGATTAACGGACGTTCTTCACGATGATGTGCCATCAAATCGACATCTTCATGTGGAGCCTTATCTACCATTCCTTGGTGATTGTCATGGTCATCGTCCAAACCACAAAACCATGACCAACACGCTTTCACAAGCACGAACACGTTACAACCGTCAGGCTTCTCTACGCGATGTGTTTCGGGAAGAGTATTTGTGACATCGATCGGCTGACTAAAATAAAAAAAAGTGTTTGATCCTTGGTAAAAAAAGAAATGACATCGTTTTACCTGACAATTGGAGTTTCATGATTGACAGCGTCAAGCATTTGTACATGTTCCGGCGTTGATTTTTGTTGATTTTTCGTCCAAAATGTTGTTCGATATAATTGTTCTTCTGTCGGCGGTTGTGTGCACAGTGAAACACTCACACATGTAATTAAAGTCAACCAAAATAGAAACAAAGAATAATACATAAAATTAACTTTTGTCACCAGCCAAAATCGTGAATCATTCTCTCCACAGAGTGGTGGTTGTTTCGAAAACTCAAGTATCATTCGTAATAAACCAAAAACAAATCCGACCATTAATCCAGCAAATGCGCCACTTTCATTGGTGCGTTTCCATAAAACTGCTAATATATAAATGCAAGCGATTGGCGGTGCTAAGAAGCCGATCACCTGCTGCATGTACGTATAAAGTTCTACCCCTTGTAGTTCAATAACGACTGGTATCCATGCAATGCCAACTACAGTCATCAGAATAACAAAAAGACGACCGACGATCATCAATTCTCGATTAGTTATGTTCTTCCGACGGAAGGCTAACACATTTGGATAAATATCAACTGTAAATATTGTACTTGCAGAATTAAAGATCGACGTTAAACCTGAGATTAATGCGGCCAGCATGATAGCTAACATAATACCTTTAACACCATGTGGTAGAATGTTTAATACTAAAGTTGGATAAGCAATGTTGGTACAACGTCGTTGGTTGTGACATATAGATTGACAAGTAGAGGGTTGATTACAAGCAACTGTGTCGGGAAATAAGATTCGGCTAATCATCCCAGGGAAAATAATCATAAATAATGGAAGAATTTTCAAATAACCTGCTAAGATTGTACCACCACGAGCATGTGAAATGGTTCGTGCGGCTAACGCGCGTTGAACCATCATTTGATCGGAACACCAAAACCTGAAAAATGTGATGATATAAACATGTTTTTCTTATCGACNTGAATGCGAGTTCTCTTACTAGTTTCACAGTGAATTCAACGATGAAAGAAGTGACCGATGAATTAATGGTGGACCAATGGAAGAAAGAGATTTTGTATGCGAATTATTTCAATCAATGCGCTCCTTCGCAGTGCACTTATATCTATACGATCAAAAACACAGTTCTTTATATTATCACAACAGTCATCGGCCTTATCGGTGGTTTAATCACAGCTCTGCGATTTATCGTGCCGAAAGTTGTGAAATTCGTTCGAGGTCGTATTCAAAAGAGAAAAAACAGAGTTAGCACGATAAGCAACGCTACTCGAACATAAACCCTTTCAGAACAAGACTGTTTTTGCTTTTGCTGCTATAATGAAACTTGCTTCTGCTTTTCCCATTTAATCTAATAAAAATTCATTCTTCATCAGGAACTCCCCTGAACATCGTCTAGAATTTTATTAAACAACATCGACATAAAACTCATTCGAACCTGGACCGGCATGTTTTTGCCAAAATGAGATCGTATACGAATGACCGATTATTGCTGTAAAGGATTGACCAAGAAAATAAATGCCCAATCCAGTACTTTCGCAAGAAACTTGAACACAACTACCAGTGGACGACACACAAAAAATACTAGGTGATTTCTCTGCTGGATCACCATTCGAATTAATAGTTGTCGTACAAGTATTCGCGCACCATTGGCTCCAACCAGCTAAGAATGAAATCGCATCTTCAAAACTAGGATTGGTGAGCAATTCAACAGATGGCGCTGCAGTGTCAACAACCGACACGCTATCCAAATAGTGATTGTTACTGCTTGAAGTTTCCAGGCCAAACAAAAGGATGGGATCGGTGTAGTTTGTTGCTGTGTAACTTAAAATCGATTTGGTCCATGTAGATGGAGTCGGTCCAAATTGTTGCATTAGTTTTCCGTAACCAAAGCCAGAACTTGCACAGTCTGGTGCTAGAATGAATTTCATTGCTAGAGACATTATTGGAAAAAGTAAAGATCTATACGCACTTGTTATTGGTCTCGTTACCACTGTTGTTGTTTGTGCTATAAGATAATGTAACGAGAAAAGCGTACGAGTTGCTCAATGAAACGTACTTGAAGTTGTTTGAGATGTTGTCGATGTTGTCTCTGAAAAAAAATTCTCTCGTTGATCGCATGTCTGTATTTACTTGTTTGACAACTTACGTGATGTTGATGTAGTGCGAGATGTGGTGGTCGAACTTGTTGTACTAGTTGTTGTTACCGAAGTCGAGCTAGTGCTTGATGTTGAACTTGTAGTTTGAGTCGAACTAGTTGACGTAGTGGCTACAGAAAATGAATACTTTATTTGTATGACGGAAGTAACTCGTTACTGACTTGCTGATGTTGTTGATGAAGACGATGTTGTCGTTCGGGTCGTGGTGGTTGTCGTTGTCGTTGTTGTTGTTGCTGAATTTTCTATCATAAAAAGATAGTTTTATGGTTTTACACAGGTATCGAACAGAATACAAACGCATTTTAAGCGCAATTATAAGTGCGGCAAGTCCCGCTAATGCGAGAGCTAGAATAAGGCACAAACACAGTAATGGACAAGGATGGCCCCAACAGCATTTTTTTCTAAATGATAAAGATGTACAATCATAGGAAAAACCTTAAATCGCAAACTTCTTTTGTTTTCTTTTGGATTTTTTGTTCGCATTTGTCCATTCTGTATCAAAATTATCAGCCGAAGCATTGTCGAATTCGTTGCTTACTTGACTAACTGTTAAAATCCGAGGGTTGATTTGTTTAGTACATTTTAAAGATTGATTATTTATAACACTCCAACATTTTGTGTCAAATCGTTTAGGTTCAGATCGGACGCGACGGGTTTTTGGTGCAGACTCAGATTTAGTTTCACTATCGCATCTCATCGAGAGTTCGTACGATAGTGGAGACGGAGCATTACTTTGATGTTTGATAAACACGTGGCCTAATCCTCTTGAATGTTGAACAGGAACGCTTGTCACCCGTTTAAACGAATTGAGTTCACTTCTCTTCACATGACGAACGGAATATCGATCCATCACTGATTATATGTTCGACTGACTTCAGTATATATGCGAGTATTATTTATTCATCGCGAAAGAATGACCGAGAAAAAAGGTTTCTTCATTGTGAAAGTTGTGTCAGTACAAAATCTGTTCTATTTCTTTTATTTATTTGATACGACATTAAAGAACCAGTGTGTGCGTTTATTATTTTGAAATTATAAAGAAACCGTGGAAATGTTTAGTGTATTAACAATAAACTGAAAAAAAACATTTTTAAGAAGGGGCGTATTGGCCAAATGTTCACAGTTTACATGTATGTGCTGTAGTAGCAACTCGCCGTTGTGTTCGCATTGAAAACAGACGTTGGAGACTTGTTTTCTTACGTAATTCTGATATTGACGCAAGATTTACAAAGGGAAAACTGAGAATGAGTAGATAACCCAAGAAGTCAAATGTGAGTTGCACGTCACCACCGCTTTGTTCTAACACACCGCATAGATGAACAAAAATAAGAAAGTTAAGGGGAATGTTAACAATAAGATACAGAACAGAAATCGGAACTAATTGGATAATTAATTTACGCTGTTTTCGCCACTGGATCGGCTGATTAAGACGACGTTTCTGTCGATAAACTCGATGAACTAATGTCACAACGAACAAACTAATTAATACCGTTGGAAGTATATTATTAACACATGAATCCCATTTACCAAGAATAGGATCATGTAAATAGCACGGAAAGTTATTGCACACAGGTAGGGTGTAGTTATAACGGTTCTGGCAAGGTGGGAAGAAGATAACCATAACATAGAAGATATAGATGTAACATAAGAGAATGATTAATGGAAGGTAGTGCAGGAGAAAACGTTTTCTCCTTGTTGAGACCCATTGGTCGCGAAATACGAGAATATGACGTTCGAAAGCACTCCATGCCATAATGATGGTGATTCCATTGTAAAAACCGATGTCAACTATCCACCAAAAACGGCATAAAATCGAATTTGATGGTCTCACACGACCTGAATTGGCGATAAAATCCAGATTTAATGGAATATCAATCAATTGAATCGTTAATCCAAAAAGAAGCAAAATAATTGTACTGTGATTATTTAATTGCCATCTAAGATTTCGATCGATAAGAAGATGATAAAGTATGAAAAAAGTACAAATGATCGATGGAATGTCTAACAATAGGAGAAGCCAAAAACGAATGGTACGAGGTATTGCAACTTCATCGGTGTCAAACGAGACGGTGGCTACGGCGAAATCATCAGTGCCTACCATTTTTTCCAACTGAATCATGCGTGAACGATGAGAGAATTTCAAATGAAAATTCTAGCAAACTAAAAGACGATGTAAAAATCAGCCAAATATAGCGTGAAAACAGGAAGTCAGAGGTCTGTTCATTAGTGTTAATCACATTTTATTAGATTCTCTGTGAAAGGGCACGAAGAACTAGAACATTATCAAAGAGATATTTTGCGTTCTTCTGTTTTTTCTCTAACCAAACATGACTCTCATTGTCAGTAGTATATTTTGAGATCGACCATTGTATTAATCTCAGCAAGCTTTTTCTCTTATAAATACAATACTTCGCATTACATAGTAATGGCTGCTGAAAAGATCTCGTGTAATAACATGATCTCAAGGTGTTCAACAGTATTAAAAAGCATACCTAGAAGACAACTAATGTTAATGAGACTTGCCATCAGCGATGGAAGCTTCGCCGTTCATATATCAAATTTTACTTCCAACCAGACGTCATAGTCGTGAACATATAATCCAACAAGGCCATCGGCAGGCATATTGAAAACAGTCAAGTTTGAAAGTTAAACTTTTCCTCGTGCATACTCAAGCACTACCACAACGATGAACACAATCACAAGGAAAGTATAAATTATTCGATTGGACCAGCAGGTATTGAGCGGTATTTTTTTTTACAAATGCACGTAACTATATGCGATACAAGGAATCGCAATGCCAAAGATACATTCTTCCGGTTGACAGAAAACAAAGAATATTTCGTAGGAAATATTGGATACCCACGATTCGATAAATATATTGTAAGCCAATGTCTATAATGTGCTATTTATGGAAAATCGTGTGAGTTGAGCATCAAACATAACATTGGTATCGATTTCATTAGTCCGTCATTCTAAGTCTTCGGGACAGGATATATATATAAAATGCCTCGCGAGTTTCTTTCATATATGTTATCGAAGATAAAGACGAAAATGTGAAATTAGATTCTTGAATATCCTGCAAAAATTTCCCCTGTTATGCAAATAAATCAACCAAGGCGTTAACTTGAATATTGAATAATCGAACAAAAGAGATCTAAAATTCGAACGAACTTTGTGGTATGTTCAATTCCATTTGATCCAATATTGTATTCATTTCATAATCAAATTTTTTGTCAGACATCAAATTATACGCTAACTTAATTGAAGCAAGAAATATCTGAATATCATGAGAAATGGGTTCCTGTGCTAACTGATAAAGCTTTCCAATTCCGTCAATGATCGAAAATCAGCTTCATTTGTACAGAATTTACCTGGATCGTCTAGTTTACCCATAGTGAAAATTAGCTGGAGCACATCTGTGAAACACATTTGATGGAGCGCTCTGACATAGAACAAATATAAATGTTCATAGTCTGTGATCAACGGTTTTACATAGATCTTAGTAATACGCCGACCATGCATAGATGAGAAAAACATCATTATAGTCATCAAAGAAAAAAAAAGATTGCAATGACATAGATGTGAGTGGTTACTTTTCTGTTTGATGGAAATATCAGCAGGGATGATTGAAATAGATTTAAGTCGGCGAGTTGTTTCTTCAAATGTCTAGGAATTTGTTTTATACGAACCCGGTACGAGCAAGCCGTTCTAAAAGGAAACAATGCATCTAGTATAATCAGAGAGAAATAAATTATATTTTACCTCGTTGAAAATTAGGTGCATTTGGGTATTTTTGATTGTCAATGAAATAGAAAAAAGTTTCTCCACCGATGGCATATTCAATTGGAGATCCACTATCAATAAGTTTGTCAGTTCATTAAAATATTCTCCATGTATGTCGAATCATACGATCGGTCGATCTTAGATTAAAGGAATCCAGCGATGGGTATACAGCCAATATTGAATTCATCGAATGCCTGCGTAAATAGTCAACTACAAATGTCGCATTTGTATAAATAATTGATTTACAGCACACGAGCACGCTTCAGAGGACAAAATAGACCAATGTGTAACCTCATTCACTATATAGTAGGTGACATCATCGATACTTACTTGGCCGCTGTCTTCGATTTTAACTCGAATATTCTTATTTGCACCGTATGCACGAAAATCGAGTGAAAACGCGGTTTCTATCCAACTAGGCACGTCGTTTAGCTCGAATAATGCTAGGTAATCCAACCATGCCGAAGATATCAACCTTCTCGAATAGATTTGATGTAAGACGAACGTATAATTGAGAAATGTACCGTACTGGGCTAACATTCATAGACAACGAATCATGTAGCTTTTCATATGTTTATCGAGAGGGATGGATATTCAACGGTGATAACTTGCTCATCGTTGGATAAGAATAACATCAGCAGCGGTTGAACACAAAATTAGTATGAGAATCAAGCATTGTGTTAAAATCAATCCGTGCTTATTTGCTGGGAAAGATTCAGAGTGATTATCTGAGCTTACTTAAATATCGACGCTTTATTCTTTTTGGTGCGTTTGACAAAAAAAGAAGATTAACAATGAACAATGCAAACTTTTTCAGGACGAATGCACTGGGACAGAACATACCGATCATGGTCGTAATAGTCTAGATCAGTGAGAAATATTTCGTATAAGTATAAAAGCAACGAGTTGGTCGGCATTTTTGATAAAAAAACTGTGAATGAAACCGTTATGTTCAAATGATCAATCATAATGTTGTCGATCAGCATTTGTACAGTTGAATTCACCTAGAAATTCTTGTTTGTATGATTTGATAATAATTCGATTCCGTCGCTTGAGTGTTGATGCATTTGCGACAAACAGGTTGAGTTATAATATTATTCCAATGTTGAACGTACTACAGCATCTATCCTGTAACCATCCGCGGTCATGCCAAAGATTGAATCAGTGTGACTTGTGTTGATCATAATCAAATGTGGACAACCATATAGACTTAAACAAGAACAATTCTCGTACGTTGTTGGCATCATTTGACGTCTGTGACTAGATTGAGAATCACTCAATAGATAATCCGAATAGATTTTCGATGGTTGTTCTTTGAATGGCGAATAAATCACGTTTGAGAACAGTTTTAACCGAAGAAATCGCATTCTCAAGTGCTATTTAAGCTTAGGTTTCGACGACAAGGTCGCTAAGTAACATTGAACTGAAAATATGCGACAATCCAAAGTTGATCACAACATCAATCCATGTCTGATTACTCATATGACAGAAATGCTTCATTTCTGTCCTGCCGTATTATCAAATTGGTCCAAGCTTGTCGAACAAAACTACGGAAGCAAACTTGGTGAAATTCTACATCAGCATGCACAAATATTGCCTACACAATACCAATTTTCGAGCATGGACATTAGATTGTTGTCGGCTATTTTAGTATTCAATCGTTAAATTCCGCATCTGTTCGAAAGTACACAACGTCACATATTGATTGAGTATACAAAGTTGCAATCAAATTGATGACAATATACAATATGACGCAGACACGTGTCGCACATCGTTATTCACGGACGGTTTCGTCGTCGGTGGCATTCTTCGTTCCGAAAAGATTCCATTCGCATAAGAATCTCTTCCATGTATTGTTTCTCATTTTGAAAATATGACTTGTGAGAGAAGCGATGGAAGACGATTCATTACTCCCAACAGAACTTTTTTCTCTACACAATAGTTCAATGTACCAGCTGGCATAGTTTATTTTCTACGCAGTTAATCGAGGAGCACTTTTCATTCTAATATGAGTACAAACATCAAGATTGTCTACAGTTGAAAAACAAGTGATTCGTGTTTTTTATTTGATAAAGTTGATTTGATCAATCGGATAAAAGCATCTCTACATCGGACTCATCATCTTTGTTCGATGATCTATCAATGACGAATAGATATCGTTCATGCCAATTAGTTGTCGGAGGCTCTTTACGCAGCATAACACTGAGCAAGCCGAAGAAAAACAGAATGAGAAATATTGTTGCAATGAAGAATACAATCAATGCAGCATTGTTGCTTGGCTTTGACCAAAGTAGTTTTTCCTTTGACTTTGAAATAAGACCATAACATGGGTAAACTCGATTCGGCTGAAAAAAAAGTTATCAACAGTGAAATATATCGTTTGTAAACAAATCGAACAGTACCGCATATTGTTCTTTTGCTTTTTGTCTTGCAAGATATTCCGAACGTTCGGTGAAAATATCCATAATCGTTGCATTCCTGTCAACATTATCTACCACTGTTACATCCCATGTACATCTGTAACCTCTCGTCTGAGATTTAATGGAGATTGCATCAACTCGACATTTCAATCCAACATAACCTTTCGTTTTATCGTACTCATTCCAAGCGCATAAATACAGGCTGATTGTAAATAAAAAAACAGTAAACAATCCGATCAGATCACAGAAGTTGGCTTTGTAAGTCATTATGTTTTGTTTAATGTGAAAAAAAACAACCAGTTGATTATGCGTGTCTCACTATCCACCTGAAAAATATACGTATGATGGTAGAGGATGCGTTTATTTTATGTTTGTTTTTCTTGCATCTATGAAAATCAAATACACTTATTAGTAAACGAAAAAAGTATGAAATAGCTCGAAGATGGATTGACCTATTTATGAATTTAAAAGTTATCTTTCTGCGAAAAGATGATTTCATTCATCGAAAACGACAAGAGCAGTTTAAGCATCAACATTTTGCTTTTCGTGATGATTATTCTCACATAAAAACAAGCATATTCGTTTGATCAAGCAAATTTCCACACTCGCATGATTGACTTGCATTATGTATTTTGTTTTTGCGTTCTCTTTCATCTCCGAAATAATCGTACGGGTTTGTTTTTCTTTCCCTGATCGCGTTGTAATTTATTTCGAAATCGACGCAAAAGAAATGAAGGCAGTTATTGCTCACGGCCCCAAAGAGTACAAATTCGTTGATGATAAAGAGATACCCAAATTGAAAGATGGAGAAGTTTTAGTGAAAGTATTGGCCACTGGCATTTGTAAGTAGTTTTTTGTTCGACTTATTCTTCTATTCATGCTTGCGTTTCTGTCAAAGGTGGCTCTGACCTGAAAATGTATGAAGGAAGTCCATTTTATTGGGGAGTTGGTGGACGCGCACGATCCGGCGTTATTCCAGGCCATGAATTCGTCGGAGAGATCGTTGAAGTTGATCCGCAAATAGCTCACGATCAATCGTTAACCATCGGTGACGTCATTGTTGCAGAACAACTTTTAACTTGTCGAGATCAGTGTTGGTATTGCAAAAATAGTTTAGAACACAAATGCGAAAAGTTGATCATCTACGGGCAAGGTGTTGACGGTAGTATGGCTGAATATATGATTTATCAAAAAGGCTCTTTCCTGCATAAGGTCCCGCAGAATATTTCCCCGATCTATGCAGTACTTGCTGAACCGTTGGCGGTATCCGTACGGGCTATGGATCGAGCTTCATTGAAAGACACTGATCTGGTAAGAGAAGATTTTGTTCAATGAAATTTTAAACGTTACTATTTAGGTGGTGATTTCTGGCTGCGGAACGATAGGGTTAGGTGTCGTTGCAGCGATTCATATCTATTTCCCTCAAGTGTCAATGGTTGTTCTTGATTATCATCAATTCAAATTGGATCAAGCACGATTGATATCGAACAAGTGCTCGACGTTTAATCTCTCGGACAACACTGTCGCTTCAATTGTTGAGCATGTACGGCAAATGTCCGGGGAACGTAAAGGCGCTGATGTCTTCTTCGAATGTTCGGGCTCACCGCATTCAATCAAGGTCGGCTTCGATTTCCTTCGCGCTTGTGGAACGTTTCTTCATGTTGGTATTTGCAAAGAGATCCTCATTGAGGCTCCATGGAACGCGATTTCGGCAGGAAAAGAATTGACAGTAGTTGGCACGAATTTAGGTCGACATGGTTGGTCACGAGCATTTGAAATTCTACAGAAATGTGACCTATCGGCAATGATTACTCATCGATTACCTTTGAACGAATATGACAAAGGATTAGGTCTACTTAATGCTGGAATTAAAATAGTTCTCGACCCAACTTTGCCTTCATCACCTCCGCCTACGATTCCAACATTGATATCGAACGAAAATCACCGCAGTGTTGTTTTCATCACACAATCGTCACATGGGATTGGCCGTTTGATTGCCGTGGCACTTGCTCAACAAGGTGCGACTGTTATTCTCCATGGGTCGCATCATGATAGTCCTTCGGAATTCAAAGAAGGTACAACGATGACGAATCTAAAAGAAGAAATAGCCAAACAAACGAACAATAATCACATCTCATGTGTTTGGGGTCACTTGACTTCAAAAGAGAGTGTACAATCTATTGTATCGCAAATTCAGAAACCGGTAGATACTCTTATCTGCTGTGATGGAGAAGATCTTAATATTGGTGAAAAGAATACACTTGGAAATGGCCAATCAAATGGACATTCATGTTTGGCAATGAGCGAAGGCGATGCCAGATCAACTTTTGAACAAAACTTTTGGTCAACTTATCTGGTTTGTCAGGCAATCGTTCCGCAGATGACTAAAAACCTTCGAGGTCAAGTAGTTCTCATAGGTTCATCATTCGTAACGACAGGACAAGACAAACACGTTCTTCATAGTGCATCAAAGGCCGCTTTACAACAATACATGCGATGTTTAGCCAATGAATCGACGCTCAGCGGCATTCGAGTCAACTGGATCACGCCCGGATCAGCTCCGTACGGAAAAAACAGAGATCAAATTGCAGAAGCAGTTAGTAATTTATTGAAAATGAGTTTCATGAATGGCCAAGTTATTCGGCTCGATGGCAATGAGCAAACATGCTGCTGTTAAACTGACATCGATATTTTTTTTAATACTGATTCAACTATTTTTCTCCTCTAGCATTTTCTTCAATTCAGCAAATTGAACCATCAGCTCTTCCACTGTTTTCACGAAAGGAATATATGTCACACCTAATTCCCTTTGCGCTTTCGAACTATCGATCGCATAATGTTCGGGTGATTCTTGACCTGTGACACCAATCGGTGTTGTGTCCTTGATATTTTTTGGTATAGCACTACTTTGATGAATGATGTCAACTAATCGTTGATTGCTCCAAGCTTCTGCTGCGATAAGATACCGTTCGTTCGTATCAGTTGTTCGTTCTAGAGCAGCGACATGGGCATACGCGACATCTCGGACGTCAACTTCCAACAGCACGCGAGTTTTGGGGATTTGAGCGTCTGTACCACTGCTAACTATCGACCATAGGAGACCGTTTGATGAACGTATATCTTCGACCGATTTGAAACCAGAAATCGATGGACCGAAAACCATTGGCTCACATACTGTAGCGATGGTAAACGAGGGCTTTTCTTTTTCCACAAACTCCCATGCAGCACGTTCAGCGCATGTCTTCGATGCACGATAAGCTAAATGTAGATCATCTTTCGCAGCAACAGCTTGTTCATATGTTAATGGACACCAGTCTTTTTCCGAGTAAGAATAGCCCGGACGCAAGCCATAGTTATGGTCGAAGACTGCTGCAAATGATGATGTGATAACGATCCGTCGGATCTGATGTTGATGATTTCGATTGTATTGATGAGCACATTTTAGAATGTTTTGAGTTCCATTGATTGCTGGTAGAAGTAAATCCTTTTCTATATTCGTTGTATTCAGGGGCAATGGTGAAGCAACGTGAATGATACCATCGACACCTTGCACGGCTTCATCGAATGAATCATTAGCAATATCATTGACGTATACGAACGAAATGTGATCTCGATAGGCGTTGGGAATACTTTCGAGAACCTGTTGCTCTCTTGCTTGAAACCGAACTGTTCCACGAATACGATATCCTTTTTCCAGAAGATATTTAATAATCCAACCAGAAATAAACGAATTCGCACCTGTAACTAGAACAGTTTTCGACATCGTATTTGTAAGAAACACTCTTATGGTGAAGAATCTATCCCTTATGCAATAGAAATCCGCGTGTTTAAATAGTAAACAAGCTTTTTTTTCTTTTCGTTCTGTGTCATCGGCTGTCCTTGTTCTCTTCGTATGCAAACGTTAACGTTTTATTACAAAGAAATTACACTATAACATCAATAAAATCGATTAATTCCGCCAGAATGTATATTTAACCGGTAATGAAAACAAAACCATTAGAGAAATTTCGAGCAGAAGGATGATGATTAAATTTATATTTAGAATCCATTTGATCAACGGACGTTCTTCGCGATGGTGTACCATCAAATCGACATCTTCATGCGGAGCCTTATCTACTATTCCCTGATGATTGTCATGGCCATCGTCCAAACCACAAAACCATGACCAGCACGCTTTCACAAGCACGAACGCGTTACAACCGCCGGGCTTCTCTACGCGATGTGTTTCGGGAAGAGTATTTGTGGCATCGATCGGCTGACTGAAGTAAAAAAAAGTGTTTGATTCTTTGTGGAAAATGAATAACGTCGTTTTACCTGACGATTGGAGTTTCATGATTGACAACGTCAAGCATTTGTACATGTTCCGGCGTTGATTTTTGTTGATTTTTCGTCCAAAATGTTGTTCGATATAATTGTTCTTCCGTCGGCGGTTGTGTGCACAGTGAAACACTCACACACGTAATTAAAGTCAACCAAAATAGAAACAAAGAATAATACATAAAATTAACTTTTCTCACCAGCCAAAATCGTGAATCATTCTCTCCACAGAGTGGTGGTTGTTTTGAAAACTCAAGTATCATTCGTAATAAACCAAAAACAAATCCGACCATTAATCCAGCAAATGCGCCACTTTCATTGGTACGCTTCCACAAAACTGCCAATATATAAATGCAAGCGATCGGTGGTGCTAAGAAGCCGATCACCTGCTGCATGTACGTATACAGTTCTACCCCTTGCAATTCAATAACGACTGGTATCCATGCAATGCCAACAACGGTCATTAGAATAACAAAAAGACGACCGACGATCATCAATTCTCGATTGGTTATGTTCTTCCGACGGAAGGCTAACACATGTGGATAAATATCAACTGTGAATATTGTACTCGCAGAATTAAAGATCGACGTTAAACCTGAGATTAATGCGGCTAGCATGATAGCTAACATAATACCTTTAACACCGTGCGGTAGAATGTTCAATACTAAAGTTGGATAAGCAATGTTGGTACAACGTCGTTGGTTGTGACATATGGATTGACAAGTTGATGGTTGATTACAAGCAACTGTGTCGGGAAATAAGATTCGGCTAATCATCCCAGGGAAAATAATCATAAATAATGGAAGAATTTTCAAATAACCTGCTAAGATTGTACCACCACGAGCATGTGAAATGGTTCGTGCGGCTAATGCGCGCTGAACCATCATTTGATCGGAACACCAAAACCTGAAAATGTGATTATATAAACATGTTTTTCTTATCGATTTCGATTTACCAGATTGTATTAGGTGTATGTCCTATAAGGAAACCTAACCAAGGCATTTCGGGATCCGATAATGATCGTAACATTTGGAAGGATTTCATTGTTGGTTTACCACATATACTCGTTTGGTTTAACCAAATATTTGTCATATTTCCAATTTGATAATCATTGTTTACAGATGGCATAGCACTCAAATACTGTCGATAAATTTCCGGTATTCCACCAACTTTTTGATAGGATAGAATCATCAATAGAAATCCTCCGATGATCATAATTACTGCTTGAATCGTGTCAGTGTACATCACACTTGCTAAACCACCGGACACCGTACAGATTGCTGTTAGAGTCAGAACGAATAAGACACTTAGATATATATTCCAGTGGAAAGCATAATTAATAAACAGTGCTGCTGCATAGATATTTACGCTGATTTTTGTGAGAATGTAGAGCAAAAGGTAGAGACAAGCGATGTAGATTCGAATGCGTTGTCCACCAAATCGTTTACTCATATATTCGGGTAGCGTTGAGACGCCGGTGGCGATAAAAACTGGTAAAAACACCCAACCAAGCAGTTGAAGAGCTGAAAGCGAATGTAACTCGTACGCACCAGCACTTATACCTAGAAATAAAAGCCTATTCTAAAGGCGTTCAACTTCATTCTCAATTACCTTTCGCCGCACCGGAACTTGCTAAACCAATGAAATGTTCAGCACCGATGTTCGATGCGAATAAACTTGCTCCGATACACAACCAGGGCATCTGTCGATTCGCAAGAAAATATCCTTTGACAGTCGAACGATTATGTTTAAACATGGAATAGAAACCTCCACCAATTAACAGAATACAGTAAGCTATTAGGATTGACACATCGAAATAACTCAATTCATTATTGACATGTTGATGGACGTTCATTGTCGTTGAATTTGAAAGAGAAATACTTCGCTTGTGCAATTACTCTTAATGTTAACGTGTTCCTCTTGTACTATTAAGTTAAAATGCAACGTTTGCACGACGATACTTCTTATATAAAAGTGAAGAAAAAAAAACGCAAGTTTGATGTATGAGTAAGCCGTAGAACGGAAAGAAGTTATTGAAGTATGAATGCAAAAGAACAGAAGAAGTGAGAGAAAAAGGTGTAGTTATGTAAGTATTGAATTAATTTTTACACTGCTTGTATGAAGTAAAATATGTTATTAGGGGAAAAAGAATCGTTTTTCCCTCTAGGTAATATTTTTATGCGATAATTTCGTTGAAAAATAGAAGATGAAAATGTTTTTTCTTTGTCAATGGATAGATTTAGGCTCTCTACGTGTCAATACAAATTATCGTCCAATCGAATAGTCCGTAGTGAAAACCATCGATACTGAGATCAGATGCGATGACTTGATCATTTTTATCAATGAGAAAATTTTTCAAACTTCTTTTGTCCTGAAGAACATCCGTCAATCGCACTCGATAACAAACCATCGAATGGTTTTGTTTTTATACATTGAAATATAATATCAACTTCACCACTTTTGTTTTGTTCGTTCGCTTCCTTCTCTCGATCGTACCATGATTCTTGACTGATCAATTTTCAAACCAAGTTCATTTGCTTCACTGATCATCGTATGAAATTGTAGTGTAAACGTTTCTTCTTAAACAATACAACGAGTCTAGCTGCTTATTAAAACGGATAATTTTTCCGAGCTTCATGTATTGCCATTTTATTATTTTAAATCCTATCCCGATTGTCGTGACATACAGTTCAAAATCGCTTGATTTTGTCGTTACCATCACGAAACCCAACATCTATCTGTTTATATTATATATGTTTCTTTCGTGATTGATTGCTGCTTGGCAAGACTATTTTTCCTACACCTGATTTGAGAAAGTGAGTCATCTGCTCATTCATAACACCACAACATCATGCTGTGATTAGCAGACGAAACGATATTTTTTTTGTAAATTTATAACTATTGCCTCGTAGGTGTACTTTTCTAGATAACTAGAACAGCAACAACAGCGGAAGCTCCCTACCAACACAGAACGTTCACAAATAAAATATTGGAATAGTGTCAAACAGCTCAGAGATCACTTATTGATTACTATATATGCGCACATAACGTTTACTCAAAAAGCCAAGAAAATTAATAAAAATGAGCAGTTGGTATCCTTGCAGAATTTTAGTAAGCGTCTAAACGTCGTCTTACTGAACAGTAAAATTTACTGAACTAGTAGTCTGACTAATTGCGATTACTGTCTTATACTATTCTCCGGTCAATAAATCTTCATTCCACCTCTCATACGTCCCGTTCGCAATGCTATACACGATCCCATTGTCTGGAAGAGAGTGAGGATTGACTGCTCTCGAGAATTGGTCCGTCTTATTGTACACAGATGCAATGTTATTGTACGTCACTGTTAAGTCGGGATGGTACGTAGGAAGGATCACGTGCTGAATTCCAAGCGCTTTTTTATAGTTCTCTAAAGCTCTTGAGTGGTCGCCCATGACAGAATACACTCGACCGATGTTGTTGTACGTCGTTGCTAAGTCGGGATGGTTGGAAGGAAGAGCTTTGTGTCGAATTTCAAGCGCTTTGACGTAGTTTTCAAGAGCTCTTGAATGGTCTTTCATATCAGAATAAACTAAACCGATGTTGTTGTACATTGTCGCCAAGTCTGGATGATTGGAAGGAAGAGTTTTGTGCTGAATTTCAAGCGCTTTATCGTAATTTTCCAGAGCTCTTGAATAAGAGCGCATCTTAGAATACACTAAGCCGATGTTACTGTATGTTTTTCCTAAGTCTGGATGGCTCGCAGGGAGAGCGCTCTGCTCAATTTCCAGTGCTTTTTGGTAGTTTTCTAAAGCTCGTGAGTGATCTTCCATATAATAATACAGTACACCAATGTTGCTGTACGTCGTTGCTAACTCTGGATGGTTCGAAGGTAGAGCTTTCTGTTGGATTTCAAACGCCTTGTTATAGTTCTCGAGAGCCTTCGAATATTCGCCCAGACGAAAATACACAGCGCCTAAGTTGTTGTACGCCGTTGCTAAGTCAGGGTGGTTGGGGGGAAGACTTTGGTATAGAATTTCGAGTGCTTTGTTGTAGTTTTCCAGAGCTCTTGAGTGATCGCCCATTTTTGTGTATGCAAAGCCGATGTTACTGTATGTTGTTGCTAAATCTGGATGTGTCGATGGAAGGGATTTTTGCTCAATTTCTAACTGTTTGTGATAATTCTTTAGAGCTCGAGCATAATTCCCCATAATGAGATGCACTGCACCAATGTTGTTGTACGTCGTCGCTACACTTGGATGCGTCGAAGGTAAAACTTTGTGTTGAATTTTGAGTGCTCGGTCGTAGTGTTTCAGAGCTGTTGTGTGGTCGCCCATTTTATTATACGCAGAACCAATGTTGTTATACGTCACTACTAAGTGGGGATGATACGAAGGAAGGTTCATGTGCTGAATTCCAAGCGCTTTTTTGTAGTTCTCTAAAGCTCTTGAGTGGCCGCCCATGACAGAATACACTCGACCGATGTTGTTGTACGTCGTTGCTAAGTCAGGATGGTTGGAAGGAAGAGCTTTGTATCGAATTTCAAGGGCTTCATCGTACTTTTGAAGGGCTCTGGAATATTCTCCTGTCGCAAAATACAAAGAACCGATGTAGGTGTATGTTGCTGCTAAGAGTGAATGATTGGAAGGGAGAGTTTTTTGTTGGATCTCTAACGCTTTGTTGTGGTTCTCCAATGTTTTTGAATACTGACTCATCTGGTAATGTGTTGAACCAATGTTATTGTAAGTGATCGCTAAGTCTGGATGGTTCGACGGAAGAATTTTCTGTTGGATTTCCAGCGCTTTGTTGTAATTTTCCAGAGCTCGTGAGTTATCTCCTATAGAAAAATAAACTTCGCCAATGTTGTTGTGAGTTGCTGCTAAATCTGGATGATCGAAAGGAAGAGCTTTCTGTTGGATTTCAAGCGCCTTGTTGTAGTTTTCGAGAGCCTTCGAATACTCGGCTAGATTAGAATACACAGAGCCAACGTTATTGTAACGTGTTGCCAAGGTAGGATGTGTAGGAGAGAGAATGTTTATTTTGATGTTTAAAGCGCGTTGATAGAAGTGAAGTGCTTTGGTAAACTGAGCATCTTCTTCATAGTTCTCTCCAATTTCGGCGAATGTGATAGCTAAAAAATGTTATTGAGCAACGGATAAAGAATTTTCAGAGAAAGATAGGATCTCGATTGTCAGAATTGAAGAGGGGGGTTATTGCTCTGCCAATAACTATTGAAGCAGAAGCTGTTTCCTCAATGATGTTCCAGAACCTCACATCACTCTGATAAGACAAAGTGAAAATGAACGGTACACTAGCTGATATATTTCTTGTAGATGTAGATATGTATCACTCTATTTAAGTGTTGATTTCTGTACGTCTTTGTTCTCTCTAGTATTCTGTATTGGTAAACGCTTTCTTTTTGAAATCGGAGCACATCTCTTTAGTATCAAGTCATACATCATAGTTTACCTTTTCTCAGCTGTAAAGTGCGTTCGATGAATTTCTTGGATAAGATGATTACCAGTGGAAGATTCAACCCGATCAGAATAATTGTGCAGATGACAATCCATTGACGAGTGTTCAGTGATCTTTTGAACATGTTGATTACTACTCTCGTATCACGCCTACAGGAAAGAGTTCGTGAGTGTATTATTTTCAGCAGGCATATTTAGAGAATGTATTGCAGAATCTGTAGTTAATCACGATTCCGGTACATCTTGTATCAGTGATGCTAGAAAAACGAATATTTTCTCATACGAAAGAGTCTTTGAAAATATTATACTTACTAATGTATTCTTTAATGAATCGAAACACTGTGGTGCCTCCGTATAGAAAAGAAAGATAATGGAAAGAGCTACGAGTGAATGCATGCATTTTAATAGATGTTACCCATAATGTCAAAGAGGAAAATGTCGAAAGATTACATTTTGTTGTTATTTTGATCTCGTGCAGCATCATTGGAACACACGAAAGGTCTCCAATGATAAAGGGGTACAGGTAGTGGTTATAGAGAAGAATAAATATATTTTTATTGCTAATGTGAGGAAATAAGTGGATGCAAAAACAGAAAATGTGTGATTAAGAATATGGAAATATAAATGAATGAAACAAAAAGAAGAAATCGATCATTCATCATCTTCATTCAGATCTTCGATTGCAGGATTGTCATTATCATCACCATAACTACCCATTTGTCGATAATCAACCGAATCGTCGGTATCCCAATGATCTTGGCCAAAATCATCTGTCGCTACTTTTCGCACAGTCCAAACATCGAAGCAAAGATTCGAATCAGTTATATAATCATATGGAATATAACAGTAGCCTTTATCTCCCTATACAAAAGCGTCTACACACATCATAGATCGATATACATACAACGATATCTTACCCAATCTTCACCCCAGGAATTTCGAACNTTCCACCAACTTTTTGATAGGATAGAATCATCAATAGAAATCCTCCGATGATCATAATTACTGCTTGAATCGTGTCAGTGTACATCACACTTGCTAAACCACCGGACACCGTACAGATTGCCGTTAGAGTCAGAACGAATAAAACACTTAGATATATATTCCAATGGAAAGCATAATTAATAAACAGTGCTGCTGCATAGATATTTACGCTGATTTTTGTGAGAATGTAGAGCAAAAGATAGAGACAAGCGATGTAGATTCGAATGCGTTGTCCACCAAATCGTTTACTCATATATTCGGGTAGCGTTGAGACACCGGTGGCGATAAAAACTGGTAAAAACACCCAACCAAGCAGTTGAAGAGCTGAAAGCGAATGTAACTCGTACGCACCAGCACTTATACCTACAAACAAAAGCCTTTTCAAAAGGCGTTTAACGTCATTCTCAACTACCTTTTGCCGCACCGGAACTTGCTAAACCAATGAAATGCTCAGCACCGATGTTCGATGCGAATAAACTTGCTCCGATACACAACCAGGGCATCTGTCGGTTCGCAAGAAAATATCCTTTGACCGTCGAACGATTGTGTTTATACATGGAATAGAAACCACCGCCAACTAACAGAACACAGTAAGCTATTAGGATTGTCACATCAAAATAACTCAATTGATGGTTGACATGTTGATAGGCGTTCATTGTCGTTAAATTTGAAAGAGAAATACTTCGCTTGTGCAATTACTTTTAATGTTAACGTGTTCACGTTGTAGTATTGAGTTAAAATGCAACGTTTGTACGACGATACTTCTTATATAAAAGTAAAGAAAAAAAAAACGCAAGTTTGATGTATGAGTAAGCCGTAGAACGGAAAGAAGTCATTGAAGTATGAATGCAAAAGAACAGAAGAAGTGAAAGAAAAAGGTGTAGTTATGTAAGTATTGAATTAATTTTTATACTACTTGTATGAATGAAGTAAAATATGTTATTAGGGGGAAAAGTATCGTTTTTCTTTCTAGGTAATATTTTTATGCGATAATTTCGTTTGAGAAATAGAAGAGGAAAATTTTCTTTTGTCACTGGATAGATTTAGACTCTTTGCATGTCAATACAAATTATCATCCAATCGAATAGTCCGTAGTGGAAACCATCGATACTGAGATCAGATGCGATGACTTGATCATTTTCATCAATGAGAAAATTTTTCAAACTTCTTTTGTCCTGAAAACATCCGTCAATCGCACTCGATAACAAACCACCGAATTGTTTTGTTTTTATACATTGAAATATAATATCAACTTCACCATTTTTTATTTATTCACTTGCTACACTTAATTTCGAATCGACAATCAACAGGACGGCTGCGTATTCGTCTCCTTCGCGTGATTGTGCTATGATTTTTGATTCATCAATTTTCAAGCCAAGCTCTTGGGCTTCATTGATCAATCGTCGAACACTGATCTCCGATGGGATCCCGAATATCGCATAGATTGCAATAATAATACCAAGCTTTCAATTGATCATCGTGTGCAACTGTAGTGTAGAAATTTCTTCTCAAACAATACAACGAATGGAATGGCTTAAATAGTGAATAGTTTTCCGAATTTCATGCATTGTGATTTTATAACTTTAAATACTATCATGATTTTCGTGACTTGCTGTTCGAAGTCAGTTGATTTCGTCGTCACTGTAATTTAAAAAAAATTTAGCTATTTGAATTATACGAGCCGACCAAGCTCGATTGGTATATGATAAAACTATATCGTTTGTACACCTGTATCATGTCACAAAGATTAGGAAACTTTGTATGCAATGAAGAATGATGAATTGTCATCTTTATGCAAGAGTGAACCTATTCGTGAGTGTTTTCTCTGGCAGCCTACTTTAAACAGTTAAACTTGAAATAAATATTGAATCCATTCAAGAGAGAACAGCTCTTGATATCATAATATAGATATGTTCTCTATTTCTTACTGAATTTTGACGATGCAGTAGGCATGCACCCGAACCCTATAATTTTGAATGAAAAGACCGATGGCGCCAGAAGTGTTTGACCGCGATTCTGTGCGCGTGCATGAGGCGATTAAACTCAATAGATAGTGTGATATAGTGATATCATGGTTCATGGGATGGGACATCTCCCTCCTATAGATGTCTTGTCTTCTTTGGAAATATCCTAATGGAATATTCCATGTAGTCATAGCCCGTGTGGAATATTCATAGAATATTTCCCATCTCTAGTCATATATATAGTCACAGTTCTTTCTATGTTATTCGGTTCAGTTTCCGTTTATTTCCAATAAACTCGTACACAGTTCAAGATGTGACAAATAGGTAGAAAGATTGTTAGAGAAATGTATTATACATTGTAGTTCCATGTGTTTTTCACTTTATCGGCATATTTTCTGTATTTATGCCTCTTAGATACAACTAAATCTTTCTACAGCAATCAACATTATATTTATATACATGATGCAATTACAATACAAGAACTGATTGAACACTTCTGCTCGACGATGCTGACCATAGTCTAACACCGTGTGATTCAAATACAGTATTTGTTACGAAAGAAAAAGGAAGATAGAAGAACAGTTTGATAGTCTCGCAAGTGTTTCTTACACTGATAACTGAGATTATGTTCTTAGGATGAAAGAAAAAGATAGATTGTTAACTAAGAGACGATAGTTAAATGTGGCGAAAAGACAAAACAATCATATGAGTCGTTAATTAACGTATACTGAAAGAAATATTTATTTGTTTATGAAGTGGATGAGATTCAGTGAGGAGTGTGGAACTATTCGCATATGTGTATGTAAAAGATAATGTCATCGATTTAAACTAATCAATACAGTTCGGCACTATCCAGAGAAGTACCGTTATATCCACCAGTAATTAGTACTTTTCCATTGAGCAATGTAGATGCTGTATGCCAATCTCGTGCAAAACTCATATTTCCTGTTTGTGTCCAAACACCTGTCGATGGATCATACAGTTCGGCACTATTCAGATAACCAACACTGCCATATCCACCAGTAACTAATACTTTTCCATTGAGCAATGTAGATGCTGTATGCGCATATCGTGCAAAACTCATATTTCCTGTTTGTGTCCAAACACCTGTCGATGGATCATACAGTTCGGCACTATTCCAAACAATAATACCATTATATCCACCAGTAACTAATACTTTTCCATCGAGCAATGTAGATGCTGCGTGATACCCTCGTGCAAAACGCATATTTCCTGCTTGTGTCCAAACACCTGTCGATGGATCGTACAGTTCGGCACTATTCAGATAACCACCACTGCCATCTCCACCAGTAACTAATACTTTCCCATCGAGCAATGTAGATGCTGTATGCACATATCGTGCAAAACTCATATTTCCTGTTTGTGTCCAAACACCTGTCGATGGATCATACAGTTCGGCACTATTCAGATAACCACTACTGCCAAGTCCACTAGTAACTAATACTTTTCCATTGAGCAATGTAGATACTGTGTGAGACGCTCGTCGCACACTCATACTTCCTGTTGGTGTCCAAACACCTGTCGATGGATCATACAGTTCGGCACTATTCAGATAACCACCACTGCCATCTCCACCAGTAACTAATACTTTTCCATTGAGCAATGTAGATGCTGTATGAAACTCTCGTGCAAAACTCATATTTCCTGTTGGTGTCCAAACACTTGTTGATGGATCATACAGTTCGGCACTATTCAGAACAATAGCACCACTATATCCACCAGTAACTATTACTTTTCCATCGAGCAATGTAGATGCTGTATGCAAATATCGTGCAAAACTCATAGATGCAGTCATTGACCATCCTAGTAGAAGAAATCGAGTGAATACAACAATAAATGACCTTTCGTTAAGAAGACTGAAAACAAAGTTATCTTAATCATTTACTCATCTTTGAAAAAAGCATATTTTGTCTAATTTTTCCACTCGAATTTACAGTTTTTAAATGTCTTGCATGAGTACAAGAATAGAAATCGCAGTTTTTTTTGTCGATTATTGAGATGACGATTGAAAGAAAATGCCAATAAAACTTATATTGCATGAGATTTGTTTTTTGACAAGCTTACACATACATGCTTCAGGATGCAATTTAAGTGTTTTTAAAAAGAGTATCATTGGATTTTCTTCATATCTCAAACTGCATAAACAACGAAATAATATCTCAGAAAACAAAGTATTCTCAATTTGAGTGTAGTACACGCTTACTAAAATTGTCTGACGAATATGTTTTTATTCGTAGTTGTCTCTTTGGAAGCATCTCGACCCATTCTCTGTCAGCAGTGGTTTTATTTCGAATTCCGAATGTGAAATCTCTCTTCTAATACTGTACTACATTAATAAGAAAATGATTACTGATGAGAAAGAGGGAAGACTATGCTTCTTATAAAACGAAGAAACGTCTAGAAAAGAGTTCTTATCGTATGACACTACTTGCGTGACTAGTGACAGCGTTTTAGTAGAGCTATTTTCAGAGTGAAACACTTTTGAAGAAAAGAATATTTACCAATAGGATTGCAAAAGCATCTCATGAGACAAAAGAAAAACAGCGTGCACGACATTTTATGCAGAAAAGTTTTTCATATACGAATTAATTCATAAGTCAGTATAAACTATAACTTTAGTTTCCGGTCATAATAACTAATAAAGCAACAAAACTCGAGCAGATTTCTCTAAGTTCAAGTTGATCGTCTAACGATATCGTCAAATGTGTGTCAAAAGTAGTAACTATGAATATAATTAGCGGACTAGCAATAGAATTTGAGGAGTAAAATATACACTGCTATACGAAGGTGTTTAGAAAAAGTGAAAACCCTCTTATCCAAATGATAAACATTAGACCAGGTACTCTATAGAAAAGATATAATTTACAAAGCAACATGTAAGAAGATCAAATTTCTCCACAATTTTGAACAATTCAAACGAACTTTCGAAATGTTGGAAGTACATTGTTCCGAATGCATCTACGTAACTGTTCCTTTGCCCTTCGATCTATTTCTCAACATTGATTTTTTACCTCGTATACAGAAATTGGTAGTCAGCAGCGGTAAACATACTGCTGTTGGTGAACAGCATGAGTTCACAATACACACTGAATCATTCGATGCACAACTGTGTGTCACATTATTACATGGCTGTAAAACTGAACAAAGAATACCAGGAGCACAATAACTGATGTTGTTCATGGATCGGTAGTCGAAACAAGGTGTTGGTGATAAAGAACAAGTGAGATTATTAACTGAAGTGATGTTGCATTGTTGTAAAGAACAACTTGATGTTGGATTGGACGCTGAATGAGTTGCTGTCGACAAGGTAAATTCCACATTAATATTCTGAGAAGCATATGAATATCTGAGTGATGCAGTAGTTCGATCTATGAAAATGTGTTGATGATGAGAGAAAATACGATGAGTTGACAAACCTTTGAGAGAGAGAAAAGAGATGACAAGAAGTAGATATGTAGTGGATCCCATCATGGTCTTATCGAATGAACGAAAATGAAATTAATGAGAAAAATCACTGTTGTTTGTGTGCTTGTAATGAGTGTAGAAATATTTCGTTCTCTATTGATATTTCATCATGTAAGAGGAAAGTAGAATATTAAAAGTAATCTGCTTCCTTTTCATTCCAACGAGGTTTTGTAAATATATTATTTTTTACTTTTTTCCATTCAGAACGAAACTTACGTCCTTTCGAACAAATCATGAAAAGTGTGTGGGTCTGTTTTGTTAGGAACAGCGTGAAAAAGAACTTGTGTCCTGATTTCTCTTATAAAGAATTACGAATATGAGAATCAATGTTCGAAATAAAAGAAAGAAAAAATGTACGTTCTTTTATAGCGAGATATTTTATCATAACATAATGCTAAAATCAATGGCATAGCATGAAAAGATGCAGTTTTCCGGCTACTAGGGTCTCACTTTAGTTGTTCAAAATGTCAAAGAGAATTTCTCAAAATTCATTTCGATAAATCTTTGTAACAAGAGATATATGTATACACAAGGGCCTTTAGTGCAGCCCAATAGTCGCTAATAGCACACTTTGATACAATGAATCATTTCTAGAAATAAAAGACAAAATATACGAATGTTACTATTAACTGTTGCTACATATAATTGGCATGAATAATCCTAGAGGGTGAGGATGGAGCTCTCTGTTTAATTTCAAGAGATCTGTTACAGTTTTCGAGAGCTCTCGAGATTTGGCCCGTCTTATTGTACACAGAAGCAATGTTATTGTACGTCACTGCTAAGTCGGGATGGTATGAAGGAAGGATCACGTGCTGAATTCCAAGCGCTTTTTTATAGTTCTCTAAAGCTCTTGAGTGATCGCCCATGACGGAATACACTTGACCGATGTTGTTGTACGTCGTTGCTAAGTCGGGATGGTTGGAAGGAAGAGCTTTGTGTCGAATTTCAAGCGCTTTATCGTAGTTTTCAAGAGCTCTTGAATAGTCTTTCATATCAGAATAAACTAAACCGATGTTGTTGTACATTGTCGCCAAGTCTGGATGATTGGAAGGAAGAGTTTTCTGCTGAATTTCAAGCGCTTTATCGTAATTTTCCAGAGCTCTTGAATAAGAGCGCATCTTAGAATACACTAAGCCGATGTTACTGTATGTTTTTCCTAAGTCTGGATGGCTCGCAGGGAGAGCGCTCTGCTCAATTTCCAGTGCTTTTTGGTAGTTTTCTAAAGCTCGTGAGTGATCTTCCATATAATAATACAGTACACCGATGTTGCTGTACGTCGTTGCTAACTCTGGATGGTTCGAAGGGATAGCTTTTCGTTGGATTTCAATTGCTCTGTTATAGTTCTCAAGAGCCTTCGAATATTCAGCCAGGCGAAAATACACAGCGCCTAAGTTATTGTACGCCGTTGCTAAGTCGGGGTGGTTGGAAGGAAGACTTTTGTATAGAATTTCGAGTGCTTTGTCGTAGTTTTCAAGAGCTCTTGAATGGTCCGCCATAACGAAATATACAGCAGCGATGTTATTATACGTTATGGCCAAGTCTGGATGGTTGGAAGAGAGAGATTTGTGCTCAATCACAAGCACTTTTTTATAGTGTTTCAGGGCTTCCGAGTGGTCCCCCATCGCAAAATACACTAAGCCTATGTTGTTGTACGTTGTAGCCAATTCTGGATGCATAGAAGGTAGAGCTTTTTGTTGAATTTCGAACGCTTTCTTGTAGTTTTCCACAGCTTTCGCAGGCTGGCTCATTTGAGAATACACTAAGCCGATGTTATTGTACGTAGTCGCTAGACTAAGATGATTTGAAGCGAAAACTTTCCGTTGAATTCCGAGTGCTTTGTTGTAGTTTTCCAGAGCTCTTGGGTGATCGCCCATTTTCGAGTATGCAAAGCCGATGTTGCTGTATGTTGTTGCTAAATCTGGATGTGTCGATGGAAGGTATTTTTGCTCAATTTCTAACTGTTTGTGATAATTCTTTAGAGCTCGAGCATAATTCCCCATAATAAGGTACACTGCGCCAATGTTGTTGTATGTCGTCGCGGCACTTGGATGCGTCGAAGGTAAAACTTTGTGTTGAATTTTGAGTGCTCGGTCGTAGTGTTTTAGAGCTGTTGTGTGGTCGCCCATTTTATTATACGTAGAGCCAATGTTGTTATGCGTCACCGCTAAGTCGGGATGGTACGTAGGAAGGATCACGTGCTGAATTCCAAGCGCTTTTTTGTAGTACTCTAAAGCTCTTGAGTGATCTCCCATGACAGAATACACTCGACCGATGTTGTTGTACGTCGTTGCTAAGTCGGGATGGTTGGAAGGAAGAGCTTTGTGTCGAATTTCAAGCGCTTTATCGTAGTTTTGAAGGGCTCTGGAATATTCTCCTGTAACAAAATACAAAGAGCCGATGTAGGTGTATGTTGCCGCTAAAAGCGAATGATTGGAAGGGAGAGTTTTTTGTTGGATCTCTAACGCTTTGTTGTGGTTCTCCAATGTTTTTGAATACTGACTCATCTGGTAATGTGTTGAACCAATGTTATTGTAAGTGATGGCTAAGTCTGGATGGTTCGATGGAAGAATTTTCTGTTGGATTTCGAGCGCTTTGTTGTAATTTTCCAGAGCTCGTGAGTTATCTCCCATAGAGAAATAAACTTCGCCAATGTTGTTGTGCGTTGATGCTAACTCTGGATGGTCGAAAGGAAGAGCTTTCTGCTGGATTTCAAGCGCCTTGTTGTAATTTTCGAGAGCCTTCGAATACTCGGCTAGATTAGAATACGCAGAGCCAATGTTATTGTAAAGTGTTGCCAAGGTAGGATGCGTAGGAGAGAGAATGTTTATTTGGATGTTTAAAGCGCATTGATAGAAGTGAAGGGCTTTGGTAAACTGAGCATCTTTTTGATAGTTCGCTCCAACTTCAGCGAATGCGAAGGCTAAAAATGTTATTGAGAAAAGGATAAGGAATCACTAGAGAAATATAGGATCTCGATTGTCAAAATTGAAGTGGGGAGTATTGCTTTGGCAACAACTATTGAAACAGAAGCTGTTTCCTCAATGATGTTCCAGAACCTCACATCACTCTGATAAGATAATGTGAAAATGAACTGTACACTAACTGATATAAATCCTAATCATATCATTTCAGCCGATGATAAAATCTCCCGAGTATCAATCCATTATTCTATCCGAGATTAGTTTTCTTTTAGATGTAGATATGTATCACTCTATTTAAATGTTGATTTCTGCACGTCTTTGTTCTCTCTAGTATTCTGTATTGGTAAACGCTTTCTTTTTGAAATCGGAGCACATCTCTTTAGTATCAAGTCATACATCATAGTTTACCTTTTCTCAGCTGTGAAGTGCGTTCGATGAATTTCTTGGATAAGATGATTACTAGTGGAAGATTCAACCCAGTCAGAATAATTGTGCAGATGACAATCCATTGACGAGTGTTCAGTGATCCTTTGAACATTTTGATTAACTATTCTCGTATCGCCTACAGGAAAGAGCTCGCGGGTGTATTATTGCCGGCAGGAATATTAAGAGAAGGTATTGCAGAATCTGTACCTAACCGCGATTCAGGTACATCACGCATCGGTGATGCTAGAAAAATGAATCTCTTCTCATACGGAAGAGCCTTCGAAAATATTACGTACTAATGTATTTTCTAATGAATCGGAATACTGTGATGCCTCCCTTTAAAAAAACGAAAGATAATGAAAAGAGCTATGAGTGAATGCATGCATTTTAATAGATGTTACTCTTAATGTCAAAGAGGAAAATGTCGAAAGATTACATTTTGTTGTTATTTTGATCTCGTGCAGCATCATTGGAACACACAAAAGTTCTCCAATGATAAAGAGGTACAGGTAGTGGTTATAGAGAAAAATAAATATATTTATTGCTAATGTGAGGAAATAAGTGGATACAAAAATAGAAAATGTGTGATTAAGAATATGGAAATATAAATGAATGAAACAAAAAGAAGACCCATTTGTCAATAATCAACCGAATCGTCGGTATCCCAATGATCTTGGCCAAAATCATCTGTCGCTACTTTTCGCACAGTCCAAACATCGAAGCAAAGATTCGAATCAGTTATATAATCATATGGAATATAACAGTAGCTTTTATCTCCCTATACAAAAGCGTATATACATCATAGATCGATATACATACAACGATATCTTACCCAATCTTCACCCCAGGAATTTCGAACAATAAACGACTGTGATTGATCATTATAGCCAACCGCTAGAAGAGCATGACTAACAAAAAGGGAAGGTCATCTTTTAGTTTTAATCAACGAAAGAAACAAACCTTCCATCCGATTGTCGAGTACGATCCGATGAATTCGGCATCGGTACAATACCCGATTGGGCTGCTTGATCAAATGATGAGAAAAATTTCAAACCAAATGCAAATGGAAAACCCTGTGCTAAACATGATTTCATTTCGTATAAGTCAATATTAATCTGTAATGCATCGGTAATCTTGTGATGTTTGGCCTGTTGATAAGCTTCATCACTTGGCTGTTCGTTGACTTGTGTAATATCAGACGGCCAAAGAGATTCCAGACAAGTGCCGTACTCTTCCAATGCTTCAATAATACGCGTCATTGAACATCCTGAATCAGTGATAGCATTCTCGCTTCCATTTTCTTTTACACGACCATTGTAGTAGATAAACAAGCTACTAATATCGATATTCTGATGGCTTCCTCTCTTTGTTAAATATTCATACGCTCCTATTTTGTGACGGTGAAGAAAAAGAAAAGAACGAAGAGTTTCTCTTACCAGCTAAACAGTTTGCTGAGCTAAGAAAAAAAAAGATAAAAGACGAAACGTTCGTTTATACTTGAATTTCGTTCTTACCAACTTCCAATTCTTGATTGATCTTCTACTGGTGTCATTTGTTCGCGAAGATCGGTTTTTGGTGGTAGATCTTCGGGATTATAAACCAGATGATCTCGAAATGCTTGACACAATCTTTCCTTGAATGGTAAACGTTCCGATGGATGTATTCCATTCAGACGGAATCTTCGATGTTTATTATCGGTTAGTTAAAAATGATTTAGTCCCATGCTGCGTCTCAATGTTGATTAAAGAAAAAAGTTTACCGTTTCAGTTGTGTTCCATGAAAAACATGCAGAACAAGTCTCGTGTGCGTATTCAATCTTTTTTTCTCTCCTTCTGTACTCTTACCTAGCTCCTCGACGATCGATTCTATGCGCCGATTGATTAATTATTTTTTCTTTTTTTGCTTTTTCTGCCCCTTTGATGCACTTGTAATCTTGTAAAAGACTCGTATAGAACAACCGGTCTGTACTAAATGAAAGCAATGTCTCCATCTTGAGTTATTTGACTTCAGTTGCATGATTTTTCGTTTCGCACTCACATCACAAATCAACCACTGTTAGTTCAATTTGTATAGCTAATATCCGAGCACACAGCCTGATTTTCTGGTGAAAACAAAATATACGTGATTTTTTTTTATCTCACGGATGTTTGACTATGGTATATATATAGAGGGAGATGGAATGTCAATGAAAGAGCAGATCACACAAGAATGTTTTTTTTACGTATACTAGCTTTTTTGTGTTATATTACGTAATCAATGGTCACTATGTATTATACCATTCGAACGACTGAACTAGCGGATTCTCATACGACTATCGCTATGCTGTTTGGAATATGGACAACAAACTATTTAGCCACGCGCCTCCTGTGGGTAATCATTATTTAATTCCCTATTGTCGAAGGCCAGATTATGATAGAGAACAGCCAGCCATTCTCACTGATGAAAATATCATTTCAAATATAAACGTAGCAGAATTAAAAAGGCAAAATATTAAAGAAGAACATTTACTCGCATCTCGGCTGTTATTGACTTACTATTTCTGTCGCATTGACATCACTTGATCTATCGAGAATTGATCGAAGATTTCGATGGATATAATCGACGGACTTGGTGTTTCGTTCGATATTCATCGAGAGTCTATGCGTACGATTATTTCATTCATCTTGTTGCACTTCTTTGAATCTTTGATCATCAACAACATGTCGGCGATTTCGATTGTGATTTTGATCAGTCGTAGTCGATCGCATATTCAACAAAATAGAACATCTCGTTTAGTGTTTCTATTTATTAACGGATGTATGAGAACGCCACGTTATCCATGGCTCTATGTTATCGGTTATTACATACCAGCGATACTAATATTCTTTACATTTATTTTACCCTTGAATAATTTTAGAAAAGCAACAACAATGCACCATTCGAAGACAGTCGATTCGATTTCTATGAGAACACTTAGCTGCAGGAGTCAGAACTCCTATACTTTGCTCTAGATGTATTGCTTTTACTTCTTATTTGTTATCGACTACGATGGTTCAGTCGCTTCTTCCCTGATATCCAGCAGAAGCCGCCATTCTTTGATATCCTATACTTGTTATATCGTGGCAAATTCGCTAAATATGTAATTACTCGTTGTACAGGTTTCCAAATCGATTCGAAATAAGCTAACCGTTTGTGCCATATGTAAACAAACTTCGAATAGGCAACATGAATTCTCGGATTAATAAAGGTTCGGTTTGGTTGATTAATATCTGCATGGATGAGACAACACTCTGATGCATCGTAGTCAGATACGTTATCTAACGAACGAAATTTCAGTCCATTATCGAATGGTTTACTATCGAAGGCGACCATACCAGACCAACAACTTTTGACATGAATGAGACTGTTTCGTAGAGTTTGTGATTGACTTTGACCAGGAGAGAAATACGGATATAATGGTAAACCCATCGAATAGCCGGAAGAATCACGAGTAGCGAAAGTATCGTAGAATTTCACCGGATTGATGAAATCGAGCGCACAGGCAGCTGCGTAGTTTCCACTGTTGGTCTGAAGAAGTTGAATTACATCTTGACTAGAAAAAACAATATCGTTGAGAAAGAGGACCTTGGAAAAACGTCCATTGCTCATGATGGGCTCCAAAGCACGGTTTCGAACCATAGCAAGATATGCCATGCGAGATAAGTATTTGCCTTTTCGATCGTTGATGTATAAAGAGGCATATTGATCCTCATCAAGATTTATTGTCGTTGTGACAATTGTATGTTCGCATTTCAATTGCTTTTCAATTTGTCGTAAAAGATGCGGCGTCGCATCTGTTGAATTATTTTCGAAAATAGACAAATAAACGTTGTTAGGACCGAGCTGATCAATGAGTTCCATCAATGTACAAGTCCAGCTGCCATCCTCAAGTAATGATTGTGATTGATAGAGATTGATAGCAATAAAAACTCGACCAATCAAATGATTATTTTCAAGAGACGAGAATCGATAGTCAGTAATGACGTTATGATATGACTGTAAAAACCGACGTGGTGAGATGTAAACGTTGAATAGGAATAAAACAAAAAATATAATGAGAAGTTTCGAACAAAGTAAGAGTCGGGCTGATTTCTTGCAGCTGGTTCCGGACGATGTTCGTCCTTCCATATACGACTAAGCCGCGTTACAATAATAACATAGAAGCAAAAAGGAAACGCTGTCATGCGAGAGTCTCTTTCAAAATAAAATCATGTTTTTCCGCCTAGTTAGTGAGTCTAATGAAGACACGTGCTCTGAAAATTTTTTTACCCTGTCAATGTAAGACATTCATCATTTTCTCGTTCTTGTTCTTATCATTCTCTCTACTTCCATTGGATATATATTACGAATAAAAAATATTTGCCGTTATTTCACACATTATCTAGAAAAACGCATGAATAATCAACGCCCATATGCTGTCCTGTCATAGTGGATATTACACGATGCAAATATGGCATTAAATTAGTTAATCGATAGAAAAAGATCAAGCAAATGTCAAAACGATGACTCATACGGAAGATGTACTCGCAGAGCAATCTTAATCTCCTGTATGTGCCGACGATTCTTGCGTTCTGTCAGCACACAAGAACAAAAAAAAAGAATCACCCTCTTTCGCGTTTTTTTTCAGTGTATATCAGCCGAATACATGTGTCATATTTTATCATATGAAACTTCTAGATTTATACGGAACACTTGATATTGATTTTGTCTATAAATACACAGTCAAAACATAGGTGTCTAGAATAAGATTCTGACTGATGAATGAGAAGGAAAGAGAGAAAAGCTTTGAACATGTTCACAACGTTTGAAAACTAACATGAAGAAGGAGTTATGTTAGTCCTTCCTGATTCAGATTTAGGTGAACTGGATAATCAATTGATCAATATATTCTCTGCCTTCATCATCATGATCAAAAGAACGAAAGAGTTTTGGTATAAACTCAGGTGAAAGCACCCAGTTCTAGTTTCATGAGAAATTATGAAATTTATGTAGTTAATTCAAAAGGAACAGCTGATCTTATTCCAGTTGAGCGATTTGATAAAAATTGATATATCTTTTCGTATAATTTCAGGTGGTGAGAAAAAAACGTATTTATAAATCATCGTTAATTGTTGACTAAAGTTCACTACATCATACACCTATGAATCGAAAATCATACGGCCGGTTTCTCAAACTGGGAATTCATTCTTTGCACGACTTCCTTTCAACGTTTTCGTTGTGTACCATTCTCATAATCCCGAGGCTGATTTCTCGAGCTTTCTCCCTGCAGGTAAGATCATGTGGTAAATTCATTGAAACTCTATCTGTATTCATAGCTTCATTCGTAAGACTATGGGATCAACAAGTGTATGTGAAAAATCTTTGACTCAAATTACAGCACGACTTCAAATGCACAATTTATTTTTCGTTCTGTTTGTCTTCAATTGAAGACATTCGTATTCAAGAGGTTAATATTCGACGCCCAAGATGCTATTGATATTACATTATTTGTGAATTTAAATGTCAAATGAAAGGAAGTGATTCAGAGCAAAGTATTACTTTTGACAATATTCGGTTTAAAAAAATGAAACTTATTTCTTCGCCGACACACTCACGATTGAAACATACGATATACCCCGTATTGTTAAATCGAGCAATTAAAGTATTGGTAGACGCGTGTAGCGTTCACCCACGTGCGAATGCGTCTACATAGAGGAAAGAAAAGGAGAAGATGTCTGAGTACGAGAGTAATTTGACTCTTCTATGTACACCAATGACTTTTTTTTTATCTAACATTTCATCAATTTTCGTCTTGTTTTAACATGTGTATAATGAAAATAGTTGTTTTCGAAAAGAAATATGCATACATTTCCGTTCGATTTCTAGATTTACAACAAAATGGTGTCGTTTAACTGGCAATTGATTCTCATTACAGTGAATTTATTGACAAAATTTGTCTTATCCATCGATCGTTTGGACGAACTTATGTTTATGAACTTGCTTTCCAAACGAAATCTTCTAACGAAAAAAGTAAGTAACAATCAAAATCAACTGTTTATCTTTGGTCACATCAATCCCGATACGGATGCTGTTGTGAGTGCATTGGTATTCGCAGACTATCTACGTCGTCAGAAGATCAATGCAAAAGCTTATCGTCTGGGTGATCTCAATAACGAAACAAAATTTGTTCTGCAAAAAGCAGGTGTAAAACCACCGGAATTGCTACCCGATGATTTACCTGAAGGTACATCAGTTGCCCTAGTCGATCATAATGAAAGTAAGTGAACTAAATGGTGAAATATTCTGATGTTTTGATCATGAATACCGTTCAGGTCAACAATCAATGGTCAATTTAACAAAGATGCATGTCAAATATGTTGTTGATCATCATAAATTAGGTGATTTAACAACAACTGAACCTGTTTACCTTCGTTTCGAACCAATGGGTTCAACAGCAACTATCTTAACGAAATTATATCGCGAAAATAAAATTCATATAAGCAAGAAAATAGCAACACTTCTCCTGAGTGCCATTCTAAGTGATACACTTCAGTTTCGGTAGGGAAATTTGTATTCAACAATCTTCAGTCCGTCGCTTTCATTTAGATCATCAACGACAACTAACGACGATCGATTAATGCTCAATTATCTTTTAAGCATTGCTCGGATTGTCGATGTCAATTCCTATGCCAATGAAATGTTTACCGCTAAGAGCGATTTGACTGGTTATTCAATAGAACAAATTCTCCTTCTGGATTATAAAACTTTCATCTTCAATGATCAAGTCTGGGGAATCGGCTTTGCAGAAACATTCAATTCTGGTTATATATTGAATCGTAAGGATGAATTGATCAGCGCCATGCTTGAAGAAAAGAAGAAGAATAACATAACAGGAATTCTCTTTTCAATCATTGATATTGCTAAAATACAAAATTTCATGATCATTCCTGGCGAACTTGAACGTTCTGTTATTGAAGAAGCATTCAATGTCGACATTCAAAACGGAATCGCCGACTTAGGTTCACGAATTAGTCGCAAGAAAAATATCGTTCCTACCCTAGAATCATATTTTAAATTGAACAATTAAATTCATAGCAGAAGCTATTCAATAAAAGTGTTTCCCTGGAATCTGTCTATGTTCAATAAATATTTCCGAGAAATAAAATTTTAAGGAAACATTATTCATTTCTCATTGCTTCGTCTATCACTTCCTACGTAACATTCATCGAGAACGAAGATTTCATAGCACATTAAGATGCAATGAGGAAGACATTAATTTGCGTTCGCCCTGGAGTAATATGTACTCGAGAGTGAAAGTCATAAATGGGGAGTAATGCATACATGGTTGGTTCGACTTTGCTGCATTCAAAAGTTGGTTTTGTCCCATCTCTTCTCCAGAGAAGACGTTAGGCATTCTCTTCAGTATAAAATGTAGTGTGCATCAACCATAGTTTTAGTCCAGTAACACGAAAAACAAAAACAAGTTACATTCCAATTGCTATTGCGCTTGATTATATCAACTTGAATTCGCCAATCTCATCATGTTTACAAACAGAAATCAACCGGAAGGAAACGCTGCAACTCCCCAACAGAACGGAGTTAACTCATCATCGCCGACACCTACAAGAGCACTACGCCAACCACCACCAATTCCGTCAAAACCTCGTAATCCCGTTCCCGAAGATCCATTCGCATCTCTTGATTCATTTATCGCAGAATCATTTTCATCGTCCTCAACAACAGATTCAAATCCCGCATCGTCCAATTATTTTTATTTAAGATCCTATCCACCAGCAGCTAATTCTGATTCCACATTGTCATCATCCGCACTTCAGGCTTCCTATATACGTGCAGCAGATTCTGCTAAGGCTGCAACAGGTCAAATCGTTGATGACAAGAAAGAAGCCGTGCATATCATCGCAAACTATGCCATTGAACCGTTAGAAATGTTGCATCTCGGTATGTGTTGACTCTAAACTTGTGGTGTGAACTCTAGACGAACGGCACATTTTGTTCTTCTAGTTGATCGCTGGATTCAACAACTTCTCGGCGAATTTCATCAGCAACGTGACACGTTCAAACATCGTCTGAGTGATAAATGGCAAAACGAGGAATTATCAAATATTCAGTATGATAATAACGATCGAATACGCAAAATATACGCTGCATTCAAACAGTTACAAACAGCACGTGACTCAATCCTATCCCGTGAAGCATTTGACGATTTAAGCAGTTTCTTGCGTAATGCTGAGGACTTGTCAACGGAAGAGATGAAAGAGAAATTCAATTCATTAGCTAACGAATATTCGAAGATCTTGCGTTGTTTAGATTTCATCGATCGAGAAGTCCAAACTGGACCTACTCAACGTGATAACTACCTTAGTGGCATCGAAAGAGATCTTTCGAAATTAAAAAAATTAAACAGTAAAATGTCCAGTACAATTTGTATTATCGGTCTCGAAAAAGCCGGCAAGTCCACATTTATCAATGCATTGCTTGGCTATGAACTTTTACCAGCAGCCAGCGAACGTTGCACACAAGTACGAACTGTACTTAAACCACCGACCCAAGACAAGGAACAACACTTATATGCCAAAGTTCAGTTCTACGACGATCAAGAATTCCAAACGTTTCACGAACAAATGCCGAAGAAAACCGATGAAAGCGAAGAGCAACTAAAGGTTCGTAAATTACAAGTAGCTGAAGAGCGAGAAAGTCTACGGGAGAAGTTTCCGGAAGAACGATTCTATATAAAAAATCCGGCCGATTTCGACCGGGAACGTACGGCTATTCACCAAGAGCTGCATAAATATATCACCGGTGAGTTATATGTGAACATCATCAAAGAGATTGCCATCTACACCGATCGACTTCCTGGAAAGAATTACGAACTTCTCGATGTTCCTGGTTTCGACTCCCCTATCAAAGAACACCGTGATGCAGGTTTAGAAGCTATTAAAAATGCCGATGCATTTCTATTCTTAACAAACGGTCAGCAGCCAAGTCTTACTCAACCACAAATTCAGCTGTTGAATGAAATCCGTCAGAACCATTTCGAAGCAATGGAACGCGCTTTTGGTATCATAACTAAATTAGATCTTTGTCAAACATCAGACACTTTCAAAGAACATCATCAAAATTCTTATCATGAATTGATTGAAAAAGGTTTCAAGCCTGAGCATATCTTCTGCACCTGCTCACGCTTACAATTATTGGATCCGAACTGTGAAGAGCATCGAATAATTGAATATAAAATCTGAAATTTTGGTCAAGGTCTAGACGATGGTTTCCAGCGGAGCAAAGATGCACTGAATCGATTTATTGAATTCGAACTACCGAAGACACATTTAAAACAATTGATCGACCTGGGACGAATGCATTTAACTCACCCCGTGGTCGAACGTCTGGAGAAGATCAAAGAGAAACAGCTTTTACCAGTTAATCTTGCGGATATGTCAATCGATGATTACATAAAACAACAAAAAACCGAAAGTTGGGACGCAGTTTACGATAAAAGCATCTTCAATCCGGCGTTTGCTCAAGCTAATTCTTGGCACACGAAGGTTGTCACCAAAGAACGTGCGAAATTTGCTAACACAATTAAACAAAAGTTTCACGATTCATTTATCGACCGTACACAGAGTTTCCTTCAAATCACCCCTTTAATCGAAGACATCATGTGCGAGCAATTCGAATATTCGAAACTGCAACTCAATATTCACCCAACCGATAATGCTGAACGCGGCAAATTAAGTATGGAATTAGAGAAGATTGTCCATGACACATCGATTTACCTTGCCGACTATTTTTATCGCGAGTACATTTGTGGATTTGAAGTCATCATCAACGGTGTTTGTCCGTTTTTGAAAGATCTCTTTCGAACACAATTAACATTAGAAAAGTGTTTGAACGAAACTCACGCGTTAATTTTGCGTGTCGCTCGTCCAATGATTATGGCCGCACTTCGTTATTCGCATTTGGATTTACCTGTGAAACGTAACGCCATTCAAGATCTGATATACATTGCACCAACAGCGGCAGCCACTATCGTTCGTCATAAGAAGGAGAGCAAATCGTCATTTGCAGCAGAAATTGAAAAACAAGTCAAAGAATTAAACAGTCAACATGACTTATCCACACCGGTCATTCACAAACTTTTCGAATAAAAAAAGAACTCTGATTTTGACTATTTTCTCTCTAAGCAAAAATAAAAATATTCAAGAAAATCTGTCCGTAATTCTGCTGAACGAGAAACAAACGAAGGATCACTATCTTGAGGATTGATCATAAAAGTATGTGCCAAAACGTTCGTTTTGAATATACAGATGTAAAAGGATCACGCGCTATTATAATGTATAGCAAAAGTCTAATCCAGGATCAACATTACTCACTATTAGCACTTATCGAACACTCTGTCGTGCATATGTTCTATGTTTCAAAGCAAACGTTTGTACGATAGATGATTAACATTCTATAAAATTATTTTTCACTGATGCCATATGAAACAATTGACGTCGGACAATGTACATGAAATTTGAAAAGAAATGTGTGACTTGTTTAATAACATTTTCTTTCTGTCGATTTTGATGTCAATAGCGTTTTTTCTTCTTCTGTCATTTGTCATTGTTACATTAAAAATATTGAATTCAAAGCTACAATCATTCATAGTTTGATCTAGATATGGGTTGTGAAAGTTCCAAAGGAAATATCCAATCGACGTCGATGCCGATTGTTGTTAATTCTAAACAGAACGTTACGGAACAGTCCGATTACGATTTCGCTGTGGTAGTTAAACAAATTTTTGATCAAGTGGCACTTTCTTATCCATATACAAAAGTGTTCATGAAAATAGTTGTTTTCGAAAAGAAATATACATACATTTCCGTTCGGTTTCTAGATTTACAACAAAATGGTGTCGTTTAACTGGCAATTGATTCTCATTACAGTGAATTTATTGACAAAATTTGTCTCATCCATCGATCGTTTGGACGAACTTATGCTTTTGAACTTGTTCCTACCCTAGAATCTTATTTTAAATTGAACAATTAAATTCATAGCAGAAGCTATTCAATAAAAGTGTTTCTATCTAACGTATGAAGCATATTGCATTTCCGGTGTGCATGACTACACTCGTCTCTTCTTTCTTCCATTAAACATAAGTTATGTTTACTGATTGTTCGTCATTTACTCTCGTAACAAGCTCAGTTTCATGTCTTCTTTGAAACGTTACTTTTTGACGTTGAATTTCTTTGCTCCGAAGCCCGATGATAATGAGGAGGAAACGGATGAACAACGTCGATGGAATATCATTGCAACACGAATCTATATGTTACTTCTTTTATTAATTCTATTTGGAGTCGGCCTAGACTTTTCTTTAATAGACCGCACAATCACAGTCACAGTAGAAAAGCCAAGCAAAGAACAACTAGACGCTCTTCCTAAAGATGCGAAATGTTTGTGTTCACAAATATCGATACCATATGGAAAATTCACCTCGCTTCAAGCCAATTTCCATTCGCTCTGCACAAGTCAGTTCATTACAGATCGTTGGATCAAAGCAATCAATTCAGGATCGCATACGACTTCATTCTTTCTCGGTGACTTTCGAACTTTCGGTAGTGCTCAATTTCAAGCGCTGTCTGCATTTTGTCGATTATCGACGTCCAATATCAATCAGAGCATTGACTATTTCTATTCGAACACATTACTCAGTTTGGAAGTTTTCAACGAAGAAATTCTTCATGCACAAACTCAAGCATCGATATCTCAATTTCAGCTAAAAGTAGCCGATACATTTCAAACCCAATTACGATTAATCAATTTCTTGACAATCAACAATGGACTAATAAGCAGTCTTCGAACGAATGCATTCTATTTACTTCGGCGCGATAGCCAGAATTTGTTCAGCGTATCTTTGTATAATCTATGGTATTCACAAGACGATGGTTCAACATGTGGTTGTCGAGTGAACATTTGTAACCGAAGTTTGTCAGGTATATTCAGTGCATTTCGAGCAACATCTCCGATCGAAGCTGGTAGTCTTTTGTTATCTATTCCCGGCATATCAAGTGGTTGTCTCCCGGTTACTTCAATCCTCGTTTCAAGTCTCGAATGTTTCTATAATCAAACGTGCATCGACCAACTTCTCTTATACTTCCCAACCAATGAAAGGTTTCAAGCGATACCAGTGTATCCTCAGAGTATTTACAATCCAGAATCTACCATACAAACAATAGTCAACAATTTAATGATAGAAAATTGGACAATTGAAATTTCGTATGAGAAATATTATTCCGAATGTGCACCGTCATCGTGTACTTACTTGCAAATCGCTCGATACTCAGTTGGATTCATCATCAAGAGATTGATTAGTTTATTGGCGGGTTTGGTCTTAATATTGGGATTATTGATTTCACTTGTTCTGAAAGTTATTCATCGATTAAAAGATCGAACACCCATACCGAAAATTTCTCGTATGTAATTTCATTTCTTCGATTGAATATTATCAAATTCTGTTTCTCTAGTATCACTTCGTTTGCGAAATTTGCAAAACCTTGTTCTCAAACAACTGATGCATTTGAATTTATTTCAGCATTATCCAAGTTCTGAACGACAAATTCGCTATCAATGTTATGCTACTCGAGTTTATTTAATTTACATGATAATATCTGTTATAGTTCTAGCCTTTTATTCATTGATGATCAAAACAAACCAATCCAAAACGATTATTAATCCAACAGAAACCCAATACATTGAACTCGAAAGACTACATTTGCAATCTCTCTCATGTCCTTGTAGTTCAATATCTATACCATACTCACGTTTTCTTACCATTCAACCAGAATATCATCAAGTCTGTTCAAGTGATCTAGTATCCGATGAATGGATTAAATATTTCGCTGTTTCGACAAGTAATCGATCTGTACTCAGTGATGATTTCAAATCAAATGCAGATAGTCAGTTTCAACTTTTATCGATGTTTTGCAAACAATCTAAAGAGATAATTGCCAATGCTTTGGAATTATTTCTGCAAACAAAGTTTTTCAGTTTACAAATTATTCCTCCAGAGTCATTTCAAGTTGAGACAAATTCGTTCTTTCAAAACTGGAAAAGGACAACTACGAAAACGTATCTCACAACAATTCAACTATTCGAGACAGCTATCCAGAATAATCAACTAAGTAATAACCTCAATTTTGGCATGAGAGTCGATCCGATCTTTGGACAACCGTCCATGGGGTCAATAATATACTCAGATTGTAGCTGTGGACGCTCAGTAACATGCCATTCACTTGCGAATCTTTATACTTATGATGCAAATTTAACTGAGTATGTTAAAGTGTATTCAATTCCGAATTTTTTTAATGGATGTTTCCATATTACATCGTTACTATTATCCACATTGGAGTGTTTTTACAATATCTCATGCATGCTACAAATCCATCGATATGCAAATCCAACAGTATCTTTTAACTTTTCTGCTCTTGATCCGCGTCTTAGTTTAGTCAATGAAACAGTTGCTGTTCTCGTCGAGAAATCAATGGTTGATCAGTGGTTAGTGAATGTTTCCTTCACTTCGTACTATGACATATGTGCACCATCATCCTGCACATATCAATATGAAGATCGAGACAATCTTCTCATCGTGATTACCACCATTGTAGGTATTTTTGGTGGATTATCGCTCGGATTGAAATTATTGATTATCATTGGACTACAATTTATTGACAAAATCATAGCCATTCGTGTTGATGGCCGTGTTTCATCTCGATTTATTAAAAGTATATTCGGTTGTACTACAGAACATCAAGTTATTCATCGATTGCATTTCATGTTAGTGGCTGTGACCCTGAGTGTTATTTACTACTTTGCTGGCGTCACGTCTCGCATCATAACCGTTCGGATTGATAAACCTAGTTTATATGCATACGAAGAATTACTTAAGAAATCGTCGGATTCGTTACATTGTGCCTGTTCGCAAATATCAATTCCGCATCAAGAATTTCTCAAGGTCACATCACGTTTTCATGAAATTTGCTCGAGTGAATTTATATCCGATGAGTGGATTTCGTATTTGTATGGTGATATCAATCCTATTTATCGGTATGAGTATACAGATTTTTTTTATACGGCTTCTAAACAATTTCAAATTCTGGTTACTTTTTGTCAACTATCGAAAAAAACAGTTGAAAATGCTCTTTTACAATTTGACTCGACGGATCTAATTCAAGCTGATCTCCTATCATTCAATTCACTAGACGCATACATTCAACAGACGATGATAGATCTTCGACGAACGATGCCGAAATTATACGCCAATACACTTGCCTTAATTCGAGAAACAATTGGTGCGAACAAGTTATTGAGTAGTTTATTCAATAACTGGGAATTATCGTTTGCGGCTAGCGACATGTATGGCACTACAGCGTTTTTCTCAAGCCCGAAGGAATATAATCACTGTAGCTGTGCAACATCATCGAAATGCATTTCACCATCGCATGGAATGTTCGCTGGATGTTACACACTTGAAACAATCTTACAAACGCCGATTCAATGTTTATACAACCAAACATGTATTGACCCGTCAAATACTTTCCGAGCAATCAATTCATCTTCATTATTATCGAGCCAGTTTTCATTGAATTCAACATTTCAATCCATTGTGAATGAATTAATGCTGGAACAACTAATGATGGATGTTTCGTATGAAAAATACTTCAATGCATGCGCACCTCTATCGTGCACTCAGTCGTATTTGGTCGAATACAGTATTATCGAAGGTATAGCAATGTTAATCGATCTCTACGGTGGAATGTTTATCATTTGCCGATTACTGTCTATATTCATCGTTAAACAGGTTCTATGTTTCAAATCAAAAGTTCGTGCAATAAATGATTAATATTTTAAAAAACTGTTTATTGATTGATGACGTATGAAACAATTGACGTCGGACAATGTACATGAAATTTGAAAAGAAATGTGTGACTTGTTTAATAACATTTTCTTTCTGTCGATTTTGATCTCAACGGCGTTTGTTTTTCTTCTGTCATTTGTCATTGTTACATTAAAAATATTGAATTCAAAGCTACAATCATTCATAGTTTGATCTAGATATGGGTTGTGAAAGTTCCAAAGGAAATATCCAATCGACGTCGATGCCGATTGTTGTTAATTCTAAACAGAACGTTACGGAACAGTCCGATTACGATTTCGCTGTGGTAGTTAAACAAAATTTTGATCAAGTGGCACTTTCTTATCCATATACAAAAGTGTTCAAGGACATCGTTGTCAATATGAAGTTTTACGATTACGTTGTGAAAGATTTTACAAATTATTCTCGTGAAATGAACAGCAGAAGTGAATCGAATCACATCGATGAATTCGAACATAATTATCGGGCAAAAAGTCCAATCTGGTGGTACACACGGCAATGTTTTGTAAATAAAATGTTGACACAAGCGATTCGATCGTTAGAAATTAACACATTATTCAGAATGAGTTTCTTTATTCACGATTTGCATCACCAAATCGAACAGTTATACAAACAGCAAGCTCACGAAAAGCCTTTCATTGTCTATCATGCACAATACGTCGTCCATGAAACGTTTCAAAATCTATTGAAAAGTATAGGTCAGGTCATGTGTTTCAATGATTTTTTATTAGCGAATGAAATTTTCGAAGATTCAATCAAAACTTTGACAAAACCAAATACAGCTGGTGTCCTCTTTCAAATATCAGTGAATCCAGCAATAAAAACGGTTCCATTCGCCTCGATTCAAGAGACTAGTTATTCTCAAAAACAAGGACAAGTACTCTTTGCAATGCATTCCATGTTTCGAATCGATGGCATGGAAATGCTTAGCGACAATCCACTGCATTATCAAATTGAACTGAAATTAATCAGTAACGACGATCCACAAATTCGCCAACTCGATAAATCTATCGAAGAGAACGTTTCTCACGTTGTCGAATGGCAACGCTTAGGCGAAATCTTGTTTAAATTGAGTCAGTTCGACAAGGCGGAAGAACTCTATCGACTATTACTCGAACAAGCGTTCAGTAACAATCAACTAGCTTTGTATTACAACCAACTTGGCTATGTCAAAGATAACCAAGAAGATTACGAAAATGCTTTAATCTATTATGTGAAATCACTGGAAATGTGGCAGAAAATCACTCCAACGAACAAGCAAGAGTTGGCGATTACTTACGGGAATATAGGTCGATTGTATTGCAATTTAGAAGATTATCCAAAAGCGTTTCTATTCAATGAAAAATCACTGGAAATTAGAAAAGATATTCTCGCTTCAGATCATCCGGAATTGGCCAGTTCGTATAATAACATTGGAATGGTATATCAACGAACGGGGGACTATCGAAAAGCGTTGGAATATTTTGAAAAAGCACTTGAAATCTGGCAAAAATCACCACCATCGAACTATCCAATGTTAGCGACGTCGTACAGCAACATTGGCTCGACTTATGAAAATCTGGGTGACTTTACTAAAGCTTATTCGTTTTTTCAAAAAGGACTCGATATTAAGAAGAAAACGCTACCTGCGAATCATCCTGATTTAGCGATTTCATACGATAATATCGGCTTACTATATCAAAAGATGGGCGAATATTCAAAAGCACTATCATCATTAAACAGAGCGGTGGAAATTTATCAGAAATCTTTATCCGCAGACAGCTCACTATTGGCAACTACGTACAATAATATAGGTTTGACTTACCAAAAGCTGAACGATTTTTCCAAAGCACTTTCATTCCATCAGAAAGCATTGGAAATTCGCAAACAGATCTTACCCGCCGATCATCCTGCTCTGAAAGCTACGCAAGACAATATAGACAATTGTAAAAAACGATTATGAATGCTTTGTCAGAATTTTCAATGTTAAACAAAAAAGAAATGAGAAAAGAAAAATTATTTTTCAGTACGCTTCCGAGTGACGTCATTCGTCGTTTCAAAGTGATTCACGAGAGGAAATGTGTTCACTAACGAGGGAACATATTCAGGTGATTAAGCTATTCAAATCCCAACTTTTGGTGATAGATAGACCTCTATGAGGTATGAAAAACCTCAAGAGGATTCGTGCCCTCGCGCCTTTGTTCCACAGATATTGAGTTCTCAAGATGTATACGAAAAGAGACTGAAATGAAGGATGATCGTTTTTATAGAACAGTAGAGTTTTCAGGTGAAAACTTTTTCCGGTTTNGTCATCTTTTAGTTTTAATCAACGAAAGAAACAAACCTTCCATCCGATTGTCGAGTACGATCCGATGAATTCGGCATCGGTACAATACCCGATTGGGCTGCTTGATCAAATGATGAGAAAAGTTTCAAACCAAATGCAAATGGAAAACCCTGCGCTAAACATGATTTCATTTCGTATAAGTCAATATTAATCTGTAATGCTTCGGTAATCTTGTGATGTTTGGCCTGTTGATAAGCTTCATCACTTGGCTGTTCGTTGACTTGTGTAACATCATACGGCCAAAGAGATTCCAGACAAGTGCCGTACTCTTCTAATGCTTCAATAATACACGTCATTGAACATCCTGAATCAGTTATATCATTCTCGCTTCCATTTTCTTTTACACGACCATTGTAGTAGATAAACAAGCGACTAATATCGATATTCTGATGGCTTTCTCTCTTTGTTAAATATTCATACGCTCCTATTTTGTGACGGTGAAGAAAAAGAAAAGAACGAAGACTTTCTCTTACCAGCTAAACAGTTTGCTGAGCTAAGAAAAAAAAATAGATAAAAGACGAAACGTTCATTTATACTTGAATTTCGTTCTTACCAACTTCCAATTCTTGATTGATCTTCTACTGGTGTCATTTGTTCGCGAAGATCGGTTTTTGGTGGTAGATCTTCGGGATTATAAACTAGATGATCTCGAAATGCTTGACACAATCTTTCCTTGAATGGTAAACGTTCCGATGGATGTATTCCATTCAGACGGAATCTTCGATTTTTTGATCGGTTAGTTAAAAATGTTTTCAACCCCATGCTGCGTCTCAATGTTGATTGAAGAAAAAAGTTTACCGATTCAGTTGTGTTCCATGAAAAACATGCCGAGCAAGTCTCGTGCGTGTATTCAATCTTTTTTTCCTTCTGTACTCTTGTCTAGCTCTTCGACGATCGGTTCTATGTGCCGATTAATTATTTTTTCTTTTCTTGCTTTTTTTGCCCCTTCAGACACTTGTAACCTTGTGATCGAACATGCAACATATCATGCAAAAGACTCGTATAGAACAATCGGACTGTGCTGAGTGAAAACAATGTTTCCATCTTGAGTTATTTGACTTCAGTTGCATGATTTTTCCTTTCGCACTCACATCACAAATCAACGATTGTTAGTTCAATTTGCATAGCTAATATCCGAGCACATAGCCTGATTCTCCTGTGAAAACAAAATACACATGAGTTTTCTTTATCTAAAAAGACGGATGTTTGACTATGGTATATATAGAGAGAGAATGTTAATGAAAGAGCAGATCACACAAGGATGTTTTTTTCCTACGTATACTAGCCTTTTTTGTGTTACATTACGTAATCAATGATCGCTATGTATTATATCATTCGAACGACCGAACTAGCGGATTCTCATACGGTTGTCTCTATGCTGTTCGGATTCTGGACAACAAACTATTTAGCCACGCGCCTCCTATGGATAATTATTTTCTAATTTCTTATGGCCGAAGGCTAGATTATGATAGAGAACAGCCAGCCATTCTTACTGATGAAAATGCCATTTCAAATATGAACGTTGCAGAGTTAAAAAAAACAAGATATTAAAGTTGAACATTGACTCAATTGGTCTTTTCCTTTATCGAACATTGCCAAAGTGAGACATGGGCACTGTGTCTTGATTGGCGAGAAATTTCATTCGTGTTAAACTCGAAACATGAATTCAAGTATTCAACTATCAGTCTGAGTATTCAATTATTTGGGTATTCCTGCTGGCCGGGTATTCTGTAACACCCTCATTTGACGAACACTCGAGTACGAATGCTTGAATACTTCAATTCAAGTTTCGAGTTATACATATATGCAATTCTCAACCAAAGGAAATCTTCTATCACTCGATGCGATCATTGGCTATTTCATTAAACCCAGTGTGACCTTTTCCTTCCATCCATTCATCGTCAAGACCACCATCTTGTGCACTTCTTTGGACCTTTGATCATCAACACCATGCCGGCGATTTCGATTGTGATTTTGATCAGTCGTAGTCGATCACATATTCAACAAAATAGAACATCTCATTTAGTGTTTCTATTTATTAACGGATGTATGAGAACGCCACGTTATCCATGGCTCTATGTTATCGGTTATTATATTTCATTCAAGCCAGCGATACTAATATTCTTTACATTTATTTTACCCTTGAAGAATTTTAGAAAAGCAACAACAACAACGACAATGCACCATTCGAAGACAATCGATTCGATTCCTATGAGAACACTTAGCTGCAGGAGTCAAAACTCCTATACTTTGTTCTAGATGTATTGCTTTTACTTCTTGTTTGTTATCGACTACGATAGTTCAGTCGCTTCTTCCCTGATATCCAGCAGAAGCCGCCATTCTTTGATGTTCTATACTTGTTATATCGTGGTAAATTCGCTAAATATGTAATTACTTGTTGTGCAGGTTTCCAAATCGATTCGAAATAAACTAATCGTTTGTGCCATATGTAAACAAACTTCGAATAGGCAACATGAATTCTCGGATTAATAAAGGTTCGGTTCGGTTGATTGATATCTGCATGGATGAGACAACACTCTGATGCATCGTAGTCGGATACGTTATCTAACGAACGAAATTTCAGTCCATTCTCGAACGGTTTACTGTCGAAGGCGGCCATACCAGACCAACAACTTTTGACATGAATGAGACTGTTTCGTAGAACTTGTGATTGACTTCGACCAGGAGAGAAATATGGATATAATGGTAAACCCATCGAATAGCCGAGAGAATCACGAGTAGCGAAAGTATCGTAGAATTTCACTGGATTGATGAAATCGAGCGCACAGGCGGCTGCATAGTTTCCACTGTTGGTCTGAAGAAGTTGAATTACATCTTGACTAGAAAAAACTACATCGTTGAGAAAGAGGACCTTGGAAAAACGTCCATTGCTCATGATGGGCTCCAAAGCACGGTTTCGAACCATAGCAAGATATGCCATGCGAGATAAGTATTTGCCTTTTCGATCATTGATGTATAAAGAGGCATATTGATCTTCATCAAGATTTATTGCCGTTGTTACGATTCTATGCTCGCATTTCAATTGCTTTTCGAGTTGTCGTAAAAGATGCGGCGTCGCATCTGTTGAATTATTCTCGAAAATAGACAAATAAACGTTGTTAGGACCGAGTTGATCAATGACTTCCATCAATGTACAAGTCCAGCGGCCATCTTGAAGTAATGATTGTGATTGATAGAGATTGATAGCGATGAAAACTCGACCAATCGAATGATTATTTTCAAGAGCCGAGGATCGATAGTCAGTAATGACGTTATGATATGATTGTAAAAGTCGATGCGGTGAGATGTAAATATTGAATAGGAATAAAACAAAAAATATAATGAGAAGTTTCGAACAAAGTAGGAGTCGGGCTGATTTCTTGCAGCTGGTTCCGGACGGCGTTCGTTCTTCCATATACGACTAAGCCGCGTTACAATAATAACATAGAAGTAAAAAGGAAACGCTGTCATGCGAGAGTCTTTTTCAAAATAAAATCATGTTTTTCCGCCTAGTTAGTGAATCTAATGAAGACACGTGCTCAGAAAATTTTTTTATCCTGTCAATGTAAGACATTCATTATTTTCTCGTTCTCGCTCTCATTCCTTGTACTTTCATTGGATATATATTACGAATAATAAATATTTGCCCTCATTTCACACGTTATCTGAAAAAACGCATGAATAGTCAACGCCCATATGCTGTTCTGTCATAGTGGATATTACACGATGAAAATATGACATTAAATTAGTCAATCGATAGAAAAAGATCGAGCAAATGTCAAAACGATGACTCATACAGAAGATGTACTCGCAGAGCAATCTTAATCTCCTGTATGTGCCGACGATTCTTGCGTTCTGTTAGCACACAAGGAGAAAAAAAGATTCACCCTCTTTTGCGTTTTTTTCAGTGTATATCAGCCGAATACATGTGTCATATATTATCATATGAAACTTTTGGATTTATACGGAACACTTGACATGGATTTTGTCTAATACACAGTAGAAACAGAGGTGTCTAGAATAACATTCTGACTGATGAATGAGAGAGAAAGAGAGAAAAGCTTTGGACATGTTCAAAACGTTTGAAAACTAACATGAAGAAGGAATTATGTTAGTTCTTCCTAATTCAGATTTAGATGAACTGGTTAATCAATTGATCAATATATTCTTTGTCTTCATCATTATGATCGAAAGAACGAAAGAGTTGGTATAAACTCAACTGAAAGCATCCAGTTCTAGTTTGATGAGAAATGATGAAATTTATGTAGTTGATTCAAAAGGAACAGCTGATCTTATTCTACTTGAGCGATTTCATAAAAATTGAAACATCTTTTCGTATAATTTCAGGTGGTAAGAAAAAAACGTATTTATAAATCATCGTTAACTGTTGACTGTGGTTCACTACATCATACACCTATGAATCGAAAATCATACCGCTGGTTTCTCAAACTGGGAATTCATTCTTTGCACGACTTCCTTTCAACGTTTTCGTTGTATACCGTTCCCATAACCCCGAGGCTGAATTCTCGAGCCTTCTCTTTGCAGGTAAGACCGTGTAGTAAATTCATTGAAACTATATCTGCGTTCATAGCTTCATTCATAAGACTATGGGATCAACAGATGTATGTGGAAAATCTTTGACTCAAATTACATCACCACTCCAAATGCACAATTTATTTTTCGTTCTGTTTATCTTCGATTGAAGACATTCGTATTCAAGAGGTTAATACTCGTCGCCCAAGATGCTATTGATATTACATTATTCGTGAATTTAAATATCAAACGAAAGGAAGTGAGTCAAAGCAAAGTATTACTTTTGACGATATTTGATTTATAAAAATGAAACTTATTTCGCCGCCGACACATTCACGATTGAAACATACGATATACTCTGTATTGTTAAATCGAGCAATTAAAGTGTTGGTAGACGCGTGTAG